GAAGAAAAAATGTTGAATTTTAAGAAAATCGGATTTTTGAATTTTTTCGAATTTTTGATAATTTTAGATTTTTTACCAATGATTCGAGACAATTTAATAAGTAAAGTATTTTCTAAAAGCACAAAAATAATTAATCTAAATCCCCTAGAAGAGAAAAAAAAATGTTGAATTTTAAGAAAATCGGATTTTTGAATTTTTTCGAATTTTTGATAATTTTAGATTTTTACCAAAGAGTCGAGACTATTAAATAAGTAAAGTATTTTCCAAAAGCACAAAAAGGGGCCGTACACATAATACGTCACGCGGCTAGGGGGAGGGAGGGGGTCTGAGAATTGTGACTAAGTGTGACATGGGGGAGGGGGGGGGGGTGAACTCATGTGTTACGTCACAATCTTTTAAATTCAAAGATTATAAGAAATTATATGTGACAATGTCACTTTTTCTAAATAAAACAAGTTAAAAATGCTTTAAACTATTTAATATCTATTATGTACCTGTTTAACATCTATTGGCATATTATTTATATTATGATGATAAATAATATATTCTCTTAATTTGAATCAGTTAAATATCATGGTTTTAACTGACAATCAGCAGTGACTGACTTTTTGCTTCTGAATCAGTTAAAAATAACTGAAAAATTATCCACAAAACACTCCAATAAATGTCTATCGTCAAGTTTTCTTAAAAATATAGCTTGAAACTTTCCTGAACATTTGAATTGCATTTTCGACTATATTGTCGTGAAAATTTTCCTGAAAATTTAACTTAAATGTTCAGGAAAGTTTCCCGCTAAACATTTATTGAAGTGGGATATTTATATCTTTTCACAATTTTCACTAAACTTTGAATTTAAATATTTCGAAGCTTGCGAGTAAATCTTTAGGAAAGTTTCGGTGCTATGTAGGTAGTTAAACGTGACTAATTGAATCAATCAAAAACAATTGTATTGAAACATCAGTTATTTTCAACTAATTGTCAGAAAAAAAATATTACTATTTGAATTAGTGACTGACTTTTTGCTTCTAAATCAGGTATTTTTAACTGATTCAATAATTTAGAGTGTAAGATATAATATATATTGTCCAATGTATAAAATTTACAGTGAAATTTACGTGTGTGACGTGACGTAGGGGGGAGGGGGGTTCAAGATTTGTGACGAAGTGTGACATAGGGGGAGGGAGGGGTTAAAAATGGTCAAAAATCGCGTGACGTATTATGTGTACGGCTCCAAAATAATGAAGCTTAATCCCATAAAAGAGAAGAAACTAATGTTGAATTTTAAGAAAATCGGATTTTTGAATTTTTTCGAATTTTTGATAATTTTAGATTTTTTACCAAAGAGTCGAGACTATTAAATAAGTAAAGTATTTTCCAAAAGCACAAAAATAATGAAGCTTAATCTCATAAAAGAGAAGAGAAAATGTTGAATTTTAAGAAATTCGGATTTTTGAATTTTTTAGAATTTTTGATAATTTTAGATTTTTTACCAAAGAGTCGAGACTATTAAATAAGTAAAGTATTTTCCAAAAGCACAAAAATAATGAAGCTTAATCCCCTAGAAGAGAAGAAAAAATGTTGAATTTTAAGAAAATCGGATTTTTGAATTTTTTAGAATTTTTGATAATTTTAGATTTTTACCAAAGAGTCGAGACTATTAAATAAGTAAAGTATTTTCTAAAAGCACAAAAATAATGAAGCTAAATCCCGTAAAAGAGAAGAAAAAATGTTGAATTTTAAGAAAATCGGATTTTTGAATTTTTGATAATTTTCGATAATTTTAGATTTTTTACCAAAGAGTTGAGCCAATTTAATAAGTAAAGTATTTTCCAAAAGCACAAAAATAATGAAGCTAAATCCCATAAAAGAGAAGAAAAAATGTTGAATTTTAAGAAAATCGGATTTTTGAATTTTTTCGAATTTTTGATAATTTTAGATTTTTTACCAAAGAGTCAAGACTATTAAATAAGTAAAGTATTTTCTAAAAGCACAAAAATAATGAAGCTAAATCCCATAAAAGAGAAGAAAAAATGTTGAATTTTAAGAAAATCGGATTTTTGAATTTTTTAGAATTTTTGATAATTTTAGATTTTTTACCAATGAGTCGAGACTATTAAATAAGTAAAGTATTTTCCAAAAGCAAAAAAATAATGAAGCTTAATCCTAAAAAAAGAGAAGAAACTAATGTTGAATTTTAAGAAAATCGGATTTTTGAATTTTTTCGAATTTTTGATAATTTTAGATTTTTTACCAAAGAGTCGAAACTATTAAATAAGTAAAGTATTTTCCAAAAGCACAAAAATAATGAAGCTAATTCCCATAAAAGAGAAGAAAAAATGTTGAATTTTAAGAAAATCGGATTTTTGAATTTTTTCGAATTTTTGATAATTTTAGATTTTTTACCAATGATTCGAGACAATTTAATAAGTAAAGTATTTTCTAAAAGCACAAAAATAATGAATCTAAATCCCCTAGAAGAGAAAAAAAAATGTTGAATTTTAAGAAAATCGGATTTTTGAATTTTTTCGAATTTTTGATAATTTTAGATTTTTACCAAAGAGTCGAGACTATTAAATAAGTAAAGTATTTTCCAAAAGCACAAAAATAATGAAGCTTAATCTCATAAAAGAGAAGAAAAAATGTTGAATTTTAAGAAATTCGGATTTTTGAATTTTTTAGAATTTTTGATAATTTTAGTTTTACCAAAGAGTCGAGACAATTTAATAAGTAAAGTATTTTCCACATTAAAAAGTTTGACATTAAAAAATAAAAAATGTCAATACTTAACCCACAAAATTTAATTTTCAAAATAAACAAATGAATGCAGATAATTTGCTAACGGAAAGGAACTTACGATTATTATAATGTATTGAATTCTTGCAATGAATTTTTTATTCAAGTTTATAAAAATAATTGAATTTCGGCGAAGAATTTTATTATGTATTTATAAAAATAATTGCATTTTTGAAAAGAAATTTGTTAAATTTTTTTTTAAATAATTGAATTCTTACGATGAATTTTTCTAAAAATCTTTTTAAATAATTGATATTTTTCGAAAAATTTTATGTAATTTTGTATTTTAAATAATTGAATTACAGTGAAAATTTTATTACTTATGAAAATAATTGAATTATTTCGAAGAAATTTATTAAAAAATTTTTGTAAATAATTGACAGGGTGTCTACTATTTTCGTTCAACAAAATTCCAGGTTATTTCCCGGTTTTCTTTTCCCATTAAAATTTAATTTTTTTTTATTTCGAACACAAATAAATCTACAAATGGCTTCCAAATTTTTTATTAGAGTTTTTATGAATAATTAAATTCTTTTGACAAGTTTCTTCAAATTTTTTTGAAAATAATGTTCTTTTAATAATTTTAATTAAAAATTTAGAAAATAATTGAATTAAACAAAGAATTTTTTCAATTTTTTAAAATAATCTTGTCTGTTCATAATTAAAATTGAAAATTTGATTAATTCAATTTTATTAAAATGTATTTATACTAACTGAATTTCTGCAAAGAATTTTACTATTTATAAAAGTAATTGAATCCTTCCAAAGAATGTTATCAAATATTTATGAAAATAATTAAATGTTTGAGTAGAATTTTATTAAAATTTTTGAAAATAATTGAATTGTGGAGAACAATATAATTATTTATAAAGATAATGGAAATTTGAGAATTTAAAAAAATTTTTTAAATAATTTAATTTCTGCGAAGAATTTTATTACTTTTGAAAATAATTGAATTGTTTTTTAGAATTTTATGTAAATTTATGAAAAAAATTGAATTCTTTTGAAGAATATTTTTTAAAAATAATATTCAAAAGAATTAAGTAAATCTGAAGAATTTTGCTACTTATGGAAATAATTGAATTCTTGAGAAGATTTTTTTTCAGCCAGAAATAATTGAATTCTTTTGACAAATATTAATAAATTTTTTAAGAATAATTACATTTTTCCAGGAATTCGATTAAAATTGTATTAAAAATAATTGAAATTCTGCAATGAGTTTTACTATTTATGAAAATAATTGAATATATTGTGGAGAAAATTTAAAAAATAAAATTATAATTACGGTGACTAACTTCTCTTGATTATTTTCGAAAATTTTGAATAAAATTCTTTAAAAGAAGTTAATTATTTTTAACAGATTGTAAAGAAATTTCAATTATTTGTTTATAAAAATTCAATTATCTTGAAACAACAGAATTGAAAAATTTCAAACATCTTATTTTTCAGTATTTTCAAAGAAACTTTGCGAAAATTCAATTAGATTCATTAGAATGTGACTCTTTATAAAATTCAATTATTTATTATCAATTATTAAATTAAAATACTTTGAAAATTCGATTTATTAAAAAAGGTTTTAATGAAATTCTTTAATAAATTTTATTGTTTTCAGTTGAATAATTCACAAAATTTCTATTAATTCAATAACTTTTTTAAAAATTTATTTACATACTATATTTGAATCAGTGACTGATTTTTTACTACCAAATAAATTATTTTTAACTAATTGAAATTTAGAGAACAGTATAAATATCTATAAAAATCGAAATAAAAAGCAATTTTTTAAAACAAATTAAAATAATAAAATTTATTTTAATTTGGTGAAATAATTCCCGATTTGGCATAAAATTCCTGGCTTATTCCCGGTTTTTCCCGGTCAATTCCTATGAAATTTTGCCAAGAATTATGTTAAAAATAATTGAATTTCAAAGAAGAATTTTTATAACTTTTGAAAATAATTGAATTTCTGGAATAATTTGTAACTTTTCCAAAATTCAATTTTTTTTTATTACTTTTAACTAAAATTCTTCTATTAATCTAGTATTTATGAAAAAAATTTGTTAAAATTATAATTTATGTCTCATAATTTTATGATAGTTCTTGAAAAATTAAGTTTTATTTGAAAAGAAATTATTGTAAGTTATAGAAAAAATGGAAGGTTTCGTGGTAATTTTATAAGTTCACGAGGCAAAGAAAGTTGCACAAACCTTGGACAATTCTTTCCAAATCGAATTCATTTGATTTTGTATGCCATCACGTTGACGCTTGAAATGTTGAAGAGATTTGTTGAGCCTCGATTTACCGCTGGCATTTTGCTCTTCCTGTGACAGTGCATCGACTGAAGTTGTCAAATTATGAAGTCTATTGTCGGCAGCTTTCTTGTACTGAATCCTGCAGCACAAAACTTTGTCGGAACTTTCAAGAGACAATATTTTTTCATTTAATACTTTCTTCCTTCGATACAATTCTTCGAGTTTATTGCTAAAATCAGCAATCAATTTACTATTCTCATCAGTCCTCGTGTCTCTTGGTGTCGAAGAGACCGCAATTTTACTTCCACTCTCCAATGATTGAATTTGTTGCTTGAGCAAAGCGATTTCTCTCTTTTGCTCGTCGACCATTTTAATGTAAGTGGTGACGTGCATTTGACAATCGACAATATTCTTCTTGATGCTTGTCTTTATTTTTTTAGCTCGATTAGCATATCTTAATGTATTGCATGTGTCCTCGTAACTCATGCTCGATGGACTTACATTTGCAATCATCACCGTTTGACAATTCCCCCCAAGAGAATCCTTCAACAGTCGGGTCAATTTTGATTCTCGATATGGAATATGCTTGATGCCATCCGCTAAATTATTGATGCAATTGCCAAGAGCCAATAGGGATTTATTGATGTTTGCTCCTTCCTTGAATCTTGCTCCCTTGCCACCAGTGGCCGAGGCTCTTTCCGATCCTGCGAGATCGATCATTGATAATTTCACTTGTTTCACTTGGCCATCCAATTTGCTGGTAATATTCACGTAAACTTGAAACACCGCATGACTTCGACTGCTCTCTTCATTTGCGTCAGTTGGATGTTGAGTGCGATTCTTATTTCCCCTTGCCAGAAGCGAAAGCAATTCGTCTGGACTATGAATGGTGATAATTTTAAGTCCAGCCACAATTATTCCGCATCGTCCATCTTCACGAAGATGTAGTGGTCCACTTTTGTGCAATAAATCCTGAACATTCTCATTGTACACTTCTAAATAAGTGACTCCCAATTCAAAATCACGTTGCTCCTTTTGTAAATTAATTTGATTGAAGAGTTCCGCCATCGTTCGATAAGTGATACCGGGATCACGGTCCTTTCCAAGCATTGTATGAGTTTTTCCCGCACCCGTTGCACCGTAAGCAAACACAGAACAATTGTAACCATCGAGTAAATTCAAAATTAAATCCTTTGTGCTGCCTTGGAAAATATCTTCATTTGTTGATTCGATGCCGAAAACACGATCGAAAATGAAATTCAATTCTTTGTTTTGCTTTTTTAATAGGTCACGGCCCTTTTGTACGACACCACGATAGAAAAAGGGATTTTCTTCCTCTTTCGGATCGAATATCAGCATTTTGTCATCAACAAGTTTTATTACCGTCCGATAATTATCTTGATTTTCACGTTCATTTGGAGGTCTGCAACGAACAATTACTTTGATACTGGTTTCGGCACTTGCCTCTTTTCTCATTGTGCTGCCACTTGTGCTTGGTTTTGTTGTGCCTGACAATCTTTTTTTGACAAATTTTTTTGCTTTGTTGGGAGAAAAGGCTTTTGCCAAGTCTTTCTTATTGAACACCATGGCGACTCATGTGCCCTGTGAAAAAATTAAATAATTCAATTCAATTTCTATGATAATATCAATAGACCTCGGATCGACTTTAACGAACAAAAAAAAGTCCCTTTAGTCGATTAAAAATAGAAAAAAAGTCGAAAAAATCGTTCATTTAATTCAGTCTTGTCACAAAAATTTTATGTCGTATTTCCCTGAATCTTCACCTGATTTCTAAATTCAATTAATCAAGACTTGAATAATTTTGCTAAATAAATATTTAAATACCTTTCTTATTTCTTTTTCCTCGGTAAATAAAATTTAAAAAATCCCAACTACTGAAATTTAATAATTCCTAAAAATTAAAACTATAACCCTTCCAAAATTCAATTATTTTCTACAATTTTTTACTAAACTTTATCCCTCAATCAATTATCTATATTAATTTTTAATAATTTTCCGAAAGTTCTTCGAGAATTCAACAAAAATTCAATTTTTTACAATAATTGAAACTGTCCATTTTTCTTTTTAAAGATATTAAGGGGATTTGAACCTTGATGACGTCACAGTTTGTGCAAAGCATTAGTTTTAAATCTGTGACGTCATCATGGTTCAAATGCCCTTAAGGTAGAATATTTTCAAAAATTTTAACAAAGAAATTCTTAATATTAATTTTTTAAAAATATTTTTAAATAAGTAATTTTTTAAAGACAAAAGTAAAACAATAATATACTATTCAAAAATGTCCAAAAAATTGAAATTTCATAAAATCTTTTAAAAAATAATTGAAATTTGATAAAATCTTTGAAAAATAATTAAAATTTGGTAAAATCTTTGAAAATAATTAAAATTTGATAAAATTTTTTTAAAAAATAATTGGAGTTTTTGAAAAATATACCTATTTAAAAAATAATCAAATTTTTCAAGAATTTTCATTATAAATGATTTCTTTAAAATTCTTCAATTAAATATATTAGAAATTAAAAACTTCCAATATTTAAAAAAAATTCCATTAAATTTATTGAGAAAAATTAATTCTATAAAATTCTGAATTAAAAGTATGAAAAGTTCAAATTTTCAAAAATTTTAATTTGAAATTCCTTTTTAAATCAATATTTATTAGAAAATTCTACGATAATTCAAGTATTTAACTATAAAAATAAATATTCTATTAAACAATTGAATTTTTCTTAAAATTGAATTTTCATAAAGAATTTTATCAACAAATTTTTAAATAATTAAATTCTTTTGACAAATTTTTTCTAAAATTATTTATTTGATGAAAATTGTATATTTCAAAATAATTGAAATTCTGCTAAGAATGTTAGTAAAAGTTTTGAAAATAATTGAATTTGGGAGAAAAATTTTATTATTTATAAAAATAATTGAAATTTCGACGAGAATTTTTGTAAATTTTTAAACATAATTGGATTTCTGCGAAGAATTTTATTAAAATGATTTTGAAAAAAATTGAATTGTTAGGCAAAGAATTTCATTAAAATTTATTGAAAATAATTATATTCTTAAAAGAAATTTATAATTAAAAATGTATTGAAAATAATACTTAAATTCTAATAAATAAATTGTAGCAAAAGTTATTAAAATAATTAAATTTCTTTAATAAATTTTAATAAAATTTTTAAGAATAATAACTTTTTTCGAGGAATCCCATTAAAATTGTATTAAAAATAATTGAATCCCTGTAAAAAATGTTATTTTTTATAAAAATAATTGAATAATACATGAAAATAATTGGTAAATAATTGAATTCCTGTGAAATTTTTATTATTTATGAAAATAATTAAATGTTTGCGTAGAGTTTTATTAATTTTTTTTTAACTAATTGAATTATTTTTAGAAATTTTTATTAAAGTAGTAGATATTAAAACTCATTGAATTCAGGAAATTTTTCGAAAATAATAAAAATTTTGCCAAGAATTTTATTAAAATTTTTGAAAATAATTGAATTTCTGAGAAAAATTTTACTACTTTTGAAAATAATTGAATTTTTGCAATCATTTGTAATTGCTTCAAAATTCAATTTCTTTTAGTGTTTTTAATTAAAATTCTTCTATAAATCCATTATTTTTAATTATCAATTAAATATATATTCAAAAATTTAACTAATTTCAGAAGAATTTTAGTTTTTTTAAATTATTTAAAATCTAACTTTTTTTATATTTAAAAAAAATAATTAATTTTTTGAAGAATTTTAATTAAAAATTTTAAATATGATTATTTTCTTCAAAATGTTAAAAATAATTCTAAAAAATTGTAATGTTATTATTTTTTGTATGTATTTGAATTTTTGGAAATATGTAATCGAAAATATTGAAAACACCTAATTGAATTTTAAAAATTAGAATGAAAAAATTTTGAGAATTACTTTTTTCAAAAATATTTTAATATATAATTCTTAGAAACTAATTTTCATTAATTTTTCATCTTTATCCAATTCACATTTGAAGATTTTTCATTAAAATTTTTGAGAATTAAATTATTTTCAAAATTTTGTCAATTGAAATTCTTCAAAAGTTGATTTTCAAAATTTATAATAAAATACTTGAAAAAAAATCAATTATTTTCAATTAAATTTTACAAAATTTCAATTATTCAAAAGCCGTTTAATTGTATACTTCGAAAATTTAATTAGAAAAATTATTCAAAAATGTGTCTATTGTACTTTTCACATTAATAAAAATCGAAATAAGTTGCAGTTTATTCTAAAAATGTGGTATTTTATCGCAAAATTTGTAAAAAAAAATCGAAAAAGTCGTAATTTTTTAATATAAGTTGATAAAAGTCGCATTGTTTGAAAATAGTCGAAAAAAGTGGAGTAAGCCATAATATCCGAGGCCTGTAAATAGAAGTTTGTTTTTTACTATTATTACCGTTTTTAAAACCCAAAATATACTTTTTAGAGTAAAATAAGACTGGACTTTGTAATTATTTATTCCAATCATATTTTACAATAATATTAACTCTTTTAATTTGAATTTTTATATCTAATTAATGTTAATATTTATATATTCTAATTGCTCTAAGCTACAAAGAAAATAAAAAACTTGAATAGAAATTGATTTAATTACTTTATTTTTTTGAAAAAATGACGAATAAATAGGTATATGAAATTAAATATACTGCTGGTAAATTATTTTATCGATTAATTAAAAAAGCATTGCAATAAATCATTGAAATTCTCTTAACTGGTTTTTACAGTATTTTTATCTAAAACCTACGAAATTCTATAATTATTTTTAAATGATATATAAAAATGAATTATAAAAATTAATTATACATAATAAATTCGTTAAATTTAATAGAACATAATACATAAAAAAAATAATTTTATAACCAAGAAAATATTATGCTTTATGTTTATAAAAACTCAAGTTTTTACAATTTCGAAAATTTCTCTTCATAAATAAATGTAAATTCTAATCATTAAAATATTCAAGCAGTTATTATTTTCATGAATAGAAAAAATAAAGCGATAAAACAAACTGATTTAACAAACTGACAGGCAACGCTATTGTAAATAAAAGGATGTTATTATGATTATCTTTATATTTTCGAAACTTACCGTTCCTCCTGAGTTAATGTGACAAATTTTTGCGTTTCTCTATGTTATAACAATATTATTTTGCACATAAAATCACAAAATAAAGATGTAATTCTAAACAACACCTTAACAAGCTACAACAAGCACGCCGGACCGTTGGAGACATGACAAATATCAAATGTAATTTAAATCCTTAGTTTCATAATCTATCGTTAGATGTCCCTTTACAGTCTTTCTGCGCATGAGCAGCGGGAAAATTAAAAATATTATTTACATAAATTGAATTTTTTCTTCTAAATTATAATTGACTGTAAGTATAAAATGTATAAAATGTATAAAATGTAAAAAATATAAAATTAAAAAATATTTTTTTTATTCTAATAACAAGTTTTAAAATTTGTTTACAAATACGAACATTTAAAAAAAAATCTAATTTTAAGCATTTGATGCTTTAACAATTCTTTATTGTGCAATGTGTTTAATAAATATTTATAAATGCGGCTAACGTTTAAATGCATTTAAAAATGAATGTTTTCATTTTATAAATTCATATTTCTTTTTAATACGACGTAATTTAACTTTTTTTTTTAGAACAGAAGCAAACAGAAGACAGAAGTAAACGAAGTAAAAAATGATTCATGTTTTTGGACGAATCAAACTGTGTGTATTGTAGTTAGAAAAATATTCAAAATTTTTCCTAATTTTCGAACAACTGCAGCTTTTTGAAAAATTTTAAATTGGAAATAAAATATAAACATTATATATTTTGCAAGTTTTTGACGAAAACGGAAAGAATTTATTTCAGTTTAGAATACTTATTTAAACTTAACCTATAAATTAATTGAAAATCATGAAAATGTGTATTAAAAGCAGAGGAATAAAGAAAGAAATTTGCTAAAGAAATCAAAAAATAGAAAGTTGAATTTTTGATGAGAGGATGGTCATGCATTTTCGTTTTTGTCGTTTGATTGAAAAGTGCAGTAATTTATGTACAAATTATGCTAAACGCAGTACAGGAGACAATTTTTTACGTTTCTACGTTGCTTTACCACGTCTCACACCACAGGAGGTAATTTAAATCATTTAAATTATTATTCATGCTTCATTTATATTTAAATTAATTAATTGGAATTGAAACTTCAATTTGAAACGGCTTATTGTTTTTTTTTTGCAAGTATAAATAACATTTTGAAATACTTTTTCGACGTTTCTTAGAGTTATTTCTATTTCCAAAGATTTATTATTCTATGCGATTCTTAATTTTATTTTTATAATTATTTTGCATTTTTAGGTCACCGATATTTTACAGACTAATGAATTTAATAAGGAAGTAAATTCGACAAATATTGTTAAACATTATGAATCAAATCAATTGGCATCTAATAATCCCATTGAAGATACGAGATCTGAAGCAAAATGTTTGTTAACCGGAGGTAATTAATAAAAATTGTAATAAAATTATCTAATTTTAATTTTAAATAAAAATTTTCCTACAGGTATTCTATTTGGTGTATTTGATGGTCATGGAGGTGGAGCGTGTGCTCAAGTCGTATCAAAACGTCTTTTTCAATATATTTCCGCGTGTCTTTTGCCTCAGGATCTTCTCAAGCAGTATATGGAATCAGTGGACACTCGGAATGAATTAGAATTAATAGAAACTTACGAAGACAATGTGGAATTCGTCACAGAGATTCGAGATTTGTATCGATCAAGTTTTCTGGCATTTACGAAAGAATTGTCTGAAACAAAATCTGGAAGTGAATTTTTAGTGGAGGATGCAATTGAAAAGGCATTTCTTCGATTAGATAGCGATTTGTCGAATGAAGCTCTTTCTGAGATGAATAGACGGGATTCTGCGAGAACATTATCGGTCGCAATGTCCGGGGCAGTTGCTGTTGTTGCTCATATTAAAGGTCAACATCTACATGTTGCTGGTGTTGGTGATTGTCAAGCAATACTTGGAGTTCTTTCCGGTAATTTCAGAGAAACTTTTCTTATTTAATTAGGAATTTTAAAGAAATTAGATGTTTGAAAAATTGTAATATTTCAAATTCTTCTAAAATTAGCTAAAAGTTTTAACAATATCTAATTATAATTATTAAAAATAATTTTAGTTAAAAACACTAAAAAATTTGAATTTTGAAGAAGCTACATATGATTGCAAAAATTCAATTATGTTCAAAAATTAAGAAAAATTCTCCTCAAAATTTCAATTATCTTTATGAATAAAAAAATTCTTCTCCGAAATTCAATAATTTTGAAAAAATTTAATAAAATTCTTGGCTAACTTGCAATTATTTTCAAAAATTTTCCCCAATTCAATGATTTTCAATATCTTCTATTTTAACAAAAATTTTCCCAAAGAATTCAATTATTTAAAACAAATTTTTAAAAAATTATATCTACGAAAACATTTAATTACTTTCATAAATAATAAAAATTCACAAGAATTCAATTATTTACAAATTTCTTATACATTTCTTCGTAATAATTCCATTATTTTCATAAACTATAATACAATTTTTTTTACAGAGATTCAATTATTTTCGTAAATAATGAAATTCATTTTAGGAATTCAATTATTTTTATAAATAATAAAACTCATCGCAAAATTTCAATTTTAATCGAATTCCATAGAAAAATGTAATTATTCCTAAAAATTGTATTAAAATTCGTTGAAAGAATTCAATTATTTGAAAAATTTCAAAGAAGTTTTTCAAAAATTATTAAAAATAATGCATTTATAGAAGAATTTTAATTAAAAACAGGAAGAAAAAATTTATTTTTGAAGAGTTACAAATTATTGTAGAAATTCAATTATTTTCAAGAGTAATAATATTTTCCGCAAAAATTAAGTATTCTTAAATAATAATAATAAAATTCTTCTTAGGAATTCAATTACTTTCATAAATAATAAAACTCATATCAGAATTTCAATTATTTGTAATACAATTTTAATTAATTTTCTCGAAAAATGTAATTATTCTTAAAAATTTGTTGATAAAATTATTTACGAGAATTAAATTTTAAGAAACTGAGAAACTGAGATTCTAAGAAAATGTATTAAAATAATTGAATTCTTGCAAAATTTTGTAATATTGATTAAAAAATGGATTTCAGTTAAAATTTTAGATAATCATTATTTTCATAAATAATAGAAATTTACAAGAATTTAATTATTTACAATTTTGTTATAAATTTCTTTGTAATAATTACATTACTTTCATAAACAATACAATTTTTTACAGAGATTCAATTATTTTCGTAAATAATGAAATTCTTTTTAGGAATTCAATTATTTTTATAAATAATAAAACTCATTGCAAAATTTCAATTTTAATCGAATTCCTAAAAAAATGTAATTATTCTTAAAAATTCTATTAAAATTCATCAAAAGAATCTCATGATTTAAAAGTTTATTTATAAAATTCTTTATGAGAATTCAATTTTGCGAAACATTCAATTATTTAATAAATTATTTATTTTTTATATTTAATTGATTGCAAAATAAATAAATAAATAATTGAATTCTCGTAGAATTTTCTAAAAAATATTGATTTAAAAATGGATTTCTGTTAAAATTTTAGATAATCATTGTTGAAAGCATTACAGAGTATATTTTTAGAAATAATTTAATTTTGAAAAAGTTTCAAATTAAAATCTTTAAAAATCTGAATTTTTCATACTTTTAACTAACAATTCTGCAGAATTATTTTTTTTGAAAAAGTTTAACTGTATTTTTTTAAAAATTATTTCATGTTTTTATTTTCTAATACATATATAATAATTGGAGAATTTGCGAATAATTAAAATTTTGTAAAATTGAATTGTAAACAAGTGAATTTGAAAATTCTCAAAGAACTTTTTCAAAAAGTATTTAAAATAATGCATTCAAGAACTTTAGTTCAAAACATAAAAAAAAAAATGTTACTTGGAAAAGTTGCAAATTATCGCAGTAATTCAATTATTTTCAAGAGTAATAATATTCTGCGCCAAAATTAAATATTGTTCAAAAATAATAAAATTCTTCTTAGGAATTCAATTATTTTCATAAATATTAAAACTCATCGCAGAATTTCAAATATTTTTAATACAATTTTAATCAAAATTCTCGAAAAATGTAATTATTCTTAAAAATTTTATTAAAATTCGTTGAAAGAATTCAATTATTTAAAAATTAGTTAATAAAATTCTTTATTGGAATTGAATTTTAAGAAATATTCAATTATTCAATAAATTATTTATTTTTTATTTAAATAATTGAATTCTAGTAGAATTTTCTAATAAAAATTTATTTAAAAATGAAGTTCAGTTAAAATTTTAGATAATAATTGAATATTGAAAGCAATATAGTATAAATTTTTAGAAATAATTAAATTTTGCAATTAATTTTATTAAAAAAGTTAAAATAAATTTTTTTGATACTATTATTAAAAGTTTTTATTTTCTAATATAAATTTAATTGAAGAATTTACGAATAATTGAAATTTATAAAATTAAATATTCTAAACAAATGAATTTGAAAATTGTCAAAGAACTTTTTCGAAAATTATTAAAAATAATGCATTCAAGAATTTTAGTTAAAAACACGAAAAAAAAATTTTATTTGGAAAATATTGAAAATATTTATTAATTAATAAATAAAATTAATTAATAATTAAAAAAAATATTTATTATTGTTCAAAAATAATAAAATTTTTCTTAGGGATTCAATTACTTTCATAAATAATAAAACTTATCACAAAATTTCAATTATTTTTAATACAATTTTAATCGATTTTCTCGAAAAATATAATTATAAATGTAATTATTAATATTTTTTATTATAATTCGTTGAAAGAATTCAATTATTTAAAAATTAGTTAATAAAATTCTTTATTGGAATTGAATTATAAGAAATATTCAATTATTCAATAAATTATATATTATTTTATTTAAATAATTGAATTCTAGTAGAATTTTCTAATAAAAATTTATTTAAAAATGAATTTCAGTTAAAATTTTAGATTAAAATTGAATATTAAAAGCAATATAGCTTAAATTTTTAGAAATAATTGAATTTTGAAATTGCTTTCTTTAAAAAAGTTTAATTGAATTTTTTTTTATATTATTTAAAGTTTTTATTTTCTAATATAAATTTAATTGAATAATTTACGAATAATTGAAATTCGTAAAATTGAATATTATAACAAATGGATTTGAAAATTTTCAAAGAACTTTTTCGAAATTTATTAAAAACAATTGATTTAAAGAAAAATTTTAGTTAAAAATTCTATAAGAATAATAATTGAATTGAATTGATGAAAATAAATTTGAATAAGTTACAGTAACAATATTCTTATAATATAAAATAATTATTTTATCTCTCTGTCATGTTTTATAATAATATTCTTAAAAGTTATTGACTTTTAGAAGGTTTAAATTTGAAATTATTGAAAATCTTATTTCCTATGGGAAAATAGTAATGATTAAATATTTATTTGAAAAAAAGTTATTGTTTTCGAATAATTTGACAATTTGAGAAATTGGTAAATAAATGTAATAGAACATTTGTTTAGTATCTAATAATTTTTAGAGTGAATCAGAATATTCTTTATGGTCAGGGAAAAAGAAAAAATTTTGTCTAGAAATGAGGGAAAAGTTAGGGAAAAGCAAAATAAAGTTTTTGTAGCAACCCTGTTTAATTTTTTCTCGTTTTTCTTCAGAAGACGATACCTGGACAGCAAAAGCACTGGCCGTGGAGCACAATACCGACAATCAATCGGAAGTTGTGAGAATTCTCTCGGAGCATCCGACAAACGAAAAGATGACAGTCATCAAAATGGAACGACTTCTTGGACAATTAGCACCATTGCGAGCACTCGGCGATTTTCGTTATAAATGGAGTAAAGAATTTTTGGAAACCAAAGTTGTACCTTTCCTTGGTGAGAATTCCATCCCACCGAATTATCATACACCACCGTACCTGACAGCAAAACCTGAAATACAATACCATCGTCTCCGACCATGTGATAAATTTTTAATTCTCGGCAGTGATGGTTTATGGGATTTAATGTCACCATTGCAAGCAGTGAAACTCGTTGGCGAGCACATGCGAGGCAAGGTAACTCTCACACCATTGAAATTGTCACGGAAAAATATGAAATTATCTGAGATTAATAAGAAATTATTGCAAAGAAAGGAGGGTTTAAAAATGAAGCCACTCGATAGTAATGCTGCGACGCATCTTTTGAGAAATGCTCTCGGTGGCACTGAATTTGGCATCGATCATGGAAAACTGTCACAGTACTTAACACTTCCAAGTGAAGTCGTGCGAGTTTTTCGCGATGACATAACTATTACGATAGTATATCTAGATTCAAATTTTATAAGCCAGAGTCTATGATAGACATATGACTATATTCTCTTTGATACTTTTCATCCTGTTATAAAAATAAAAAAAACTTGTAAATCCAATTTAATCCGATTGCTGTATGTCTAAGTTGTTATTTATTTAGTTAACAATAAAAATAATTTACATAAGAACGAGTGTTCTGATTATTTATAACACACATACATTTACATCAGTGTATAAGAGTTTTTCAGTGGATCAATTACTTGTTTTGAATTTCCAAACGTGATCTTAAATTCTCCATTTTCTTTACACAGTAATTAATCCATTGTCTAAACTGCAAAGTAAAAATGCGTAACAAAATTTTTGTAATAAAACGCTAAATATGGTAATTAATTAGCATTGAATCTATCATAGTTTTACAATCTACACTCTTCTATTATCGTCCTTACTTTATTTTTTTTTCTCTTAAAATTTCTATCTATTTTTTTCTTTAAATCATGCGTACTTTAAGTTTATCCTTTTTTCATTCAGTGACGTTAAAATTATTTTATTTACTACAGTGTAGAGCGATTAAAAAAAGAAGACATTTAAAAGTTCCAAAGTTCAAATATCGTTTATCTCAAAAAATAGTATCTTTCTTATTTCTTACGTGTCGATGAGTTTTCGACCTCAGAAGAGGAGGAGGAGGGAAACAGAAAATAAAAAGATAATGTACATATTTAGCGATTAAATCTCTTGCAGTAAAATTGTAAGAGACGGAGAAATGCTTTCAAAGATGGTAGAACGACGACGCAGCCGTCGTCGTGAGAAAGAGTAATGTCCAGGAAGGGATTAAGGCAAGCGTGATCAACTCAAGTATTCGTGTGCCTGAAAACTCTTGTTCTCCCGCTAAATACCGACGACATCAACCCTCTTGGCCAAAGTCTTCCTTGAATTTTTCTAATTTTGACATGTCCTCCTCATTGACAGTCGGTCGAGTTGTTGACAAAGACTTCAGCATGTCTCTCTAAAATGTCAATTGCAAATTATTTATTGATTTTCAAATTATTTAATTCAAATTAGTTAATTCCAATTATTGAATTCAAGTTATTTAATAATTCAATTAAAGTTGATTTAAAAAATTTTTCACCATTGTCACTGGAGGCTCGTAAAGTTTGTCGCCGTCCACGTCCATCCAGTTCATTTCGATTGCGTCAGGATCACCAGGCGAACAAGGAGTAAGAAGATCATCGACAATCGAGGACGGATCTTTAGGCGAAGGACCTCGAACTTTTTTAAAGTGGGTGGCGGTCTGCACTTGTCGAACAGGTTGCATTAGAGCGTCCCTGACGATGATGCTTATGTCAGCTCCTGAATATCCCTCGGTAGCAGCCGCGAGTTGTTTAAAGTGCTCATCATTCAAGCAATGTGACGTATTTCCCAAATGTAATTTAAACATTATCGCTCTGGCTTGCAATTCCGGAAGAGGAATGTAAATCCTTTTCTCGAATCTTCTTCTAATAGCAGAGTCTAAAACCCAGGGAATGTTCGTCGCTCCAAGGACTAGAATACCATCATTGTCATTTCCCACGCCTGAAAGATAATCATTTTCAACATTTAAAAACTAAAAATAATAATAATTTTATTATAATTTGAAAATAAATTCTACACAATCAGGGCTCGAAACAGTGAAAGTATTTAAAAATATGGACTTTATGAACCAAAAATTAAAAATTACGGATTAAATTACTGACAAAAATATAACATTATCATTATTTTATATTATAAGATAATTGCCTACTTCTTCAAAATTATTTTCATCATTTCAATTCAATTATTATTTTCAAGAATTTTCCACTAAAGTTCTTCTTTAAATCAATTAATTTTCGAAAAAGTTCTCTGTTATATATTCTCTGTTATGTTATAATATTCAATTTTACAAATTTCAATTATTCGTAAATTCTTCAATTAAATATATATATTAGAAAATAATACAAAAAAAAATTCAATTAAACTTTTTCAAAAAAATTAATTTCAAAATTTAATTATTTCTAAAAATTTACACTATATTGCTTTTAATCTTCAATTATAATCTAAAATTTTAACTGAAATTCATTTTTAAATCAGTATTTATTAGAAAATTCTACGAAAAATTAATTTATTGATTTCTTTATTTTACAACCAATTAAATACAAAAATAAATAATTTATTGAATAATTGAATGTTTCTTAAAATTGAATTCTCATAAAGAATTTTATCAATAAATTTTTAAATCATGAAATTCTTTCGATGAATTTTAATAGAATTTTTAAGAATAATTACATTTTTGTAGGAATTCGATTAAAATTGAAATTTTGCGATGAGTTTTAATAAAAACAATTGAATTCCTAAAAAGAATTTCATTATTCACGAAAATAATTGAATCTCTGTAAAAATTGTATAGTTTATGAAAACAATAGGATTATTACGAAGAAATTTACAACAAAATTGTAAATAATTGAATTCGTAGGAAAAATTTTTGTTAAATTAGTAGATATTGAAAATCATTGAATTGAGGAAAATTTTTGAAAATAATTGCAATTTGGGCTAGAATTTTATTAAATTTTTTTAAAATAATTGAATTTCGGTGAAAAATTTTTTTTATTTATAAAAATAATTAAAATTTTAAGGAGAATTTTTCTAAATTTTTGAACATAATTAAATTTTTGCAATCATTTGTAACTTCTCAAAAATTTAAATTTTGTAGTGTTTTTAACTAAAATTCTTCTATGAATGCATTATTTTTAATAATTTTTGAAAAAGTTCTTTGAGAATTTTCAAATTCATTTGTCTACAATTCAATTTTACAAAATTTCAATTTTTCGCAAATTCTCCAATTAAATATATATTAAAAAATAAAAACATGAAATAATTTTTAAGAAAATGCAGTTAAACTTTTTCAAAATAAAATAATTTTGCAGAATTGTTAGTTAAAAGTATGAAAAATTCATATTTTCAAAGACATTAATTTGAAACCTTTTCAAAATTAAATTAAATATAGTCTGTAATGCTTTTAACCATAATTATCTAAAATTTTTAATGAAATCCATTTTTTAATCAATATTTATTAGAAAATGCTACGAGAATTCAATTATTTATTTATTTCTTTATTTTCCAATCAATTAAATACAAAAATAAATAAATTATTAAATAATTGAATGTTTCTCAAAATTGAATTCTCATAAAAAATTTTATCAATAAATTTTTAAATCACGAAATTCTTTCGATGAATTTTAATAGAATTTTTAAGAATAATTACATTTTTCTAGGAATTCGATTAAAATTGAAATTTTGCAATGAGTTTTGTTATTTATAAAAACAATTGAATTCCTAAAAGGAATTTCATTATTTACAAAAATAATTAAATATTTGTAAAAATTGAATAGTTTCTGAAAATAATGGGATTATTATTACGAAGAAATTTACAACAAAATTGTATATAATTAAATTCTTGTAAATTTTTATTATTTATGAAAATAATTGAATTCTTAAGAAGAATTTTATTATTTTTTAAGAATACTTAATTTATGCGAAGAATATTATTACTCTTGAAAATAATTGAATTTCTGCAATAATTTGTAACTTTCCAAAATTAAATTTTGTTTTTGTGTTTTTAACTAAAATTTTTCTATAAACGCATTATTTTTAATAATTTTTGAAAAACTTCTTTGGGAATTTTCAAATCCATTGGTTTACATTATTCAATTTTACGAATTTCAGTAATTCGTAAATTCTTCAATTACATTTATATTAGAAAATAAAAACATTAAATAAATATAAAAAAATCAATTTAAATTTAAACTGAAATTCATTTTTCATTCAATTTTTATTAGAAAATTAAACTAGAATTCAATTATTTAAATAGAAACATAAATAATTTATTGAATAATTCAATGTTTCTTAAAATTCAATTCTCATAAAGAATTCTATCAACAAATTTTTAAATAATTGGATTCTTTCTACGATTTTTAATAAATTTTTAAGAATAATTACATTTTCCGAAAAATTCGAATAAAAATGTATCTATAGGTATTAAAAATAATTTTAATTCTGCGATGAGTTTTATTATTTATGTAAATAATAATTAAATGTTTGCGTAGAATTTTATTAATTTTTTTTTAAGTAATGGAATTTTTTTGGAAAATTGATTAAAATAGTAGATATTGAATATTATTAAATTGAGGAAAATTTTTGAAAATAATTGAAATTTTGCCAAAAATTTTATTAATATCAATTTTTGAAAATAATTTAGTTTCGGAGAAGAATTTTATTTCTAAAAATAAGTGAAATTTTGATGAGAATTTTTAAAAAATGTTTGAACCTGATTAAATTTTTGCGAAGAATTTTCGAGCCCTGCACAATTTAAAAATAAATATATTGCGCATTTCATTTCAAAACGATCCATCTTGTGAACAATTGCCATTGTAAGGCAATTTTTAAATAATTATTTCTCCTACTTTTTTAAAGCCAAACTTTATTTACTATTAGTGGTTTTAAAAGATAAATTTTTCAACTTTACGATGGTGAAAAGATATTTCTTTTAAATAATATAATTTATAAAGAAACCTTTGAAATCTTTGTAAAATTTAATTAATTGTAAACTTAATTTTTTTTACCATCGTAAAGTTGAGAAATTTTTCTTTTAAAACCATTAATAGTAAATAAAGTTTGTCCCTGATAAATAGGAGAAATAATTATTTAAAAATTGCCTTACAATGGCAATTGTTTATAAAGTGGGTCGTTTTGAAATAAAATATGCTTTTTACCTTGCATTTGTACTAAAAATTCAGTTTTTATTCGTCGAGCTGACTCGGATTCATTATCGGATCGTGACGAGCACAGAGAATCCACTTCATCGATAAAAATGATGCTAGGTTTGTGATGTCGAGCTAATTCAAATAAATTTTTCACAAGTTTCTCAGATTCTCCGAGCCACTTGCTCACCAAATCGGATGAAGAAACAGAAAAGAAGGTCGAATTGTCAGCTTCCGTTGCTACTGCTTTTGCTAAATACGATTTACCGGTACCTGGGGGCTGCAAAGCAAATATATTTTTACCCTCCATCTTTTAATAATTATGTAATTTATAACATTTCTTACAACTGAAAAAAAAATTGCTTTTCAAATTTACCCCAAAGAGTAAAATTCCCTTCCATGGAACACGTTTTCCCGTGAATAGATGAGGAAATCGAATAGGCAATATAACAGCTTCCTTTAAAGCTTCTTTAGCTAAATCAAGTCCAGCAACATCACTCCATTTTATATTTGGTTTTTCCATTATTATAGCACCCTCTAGTTTGGTTTGTAGTTTCTTTTTCTCTGGATCGCTGTCTGTATCACTATCACCACTGTCGCTTTTCTTGTCTTCGCTTTTAGAATCATCTTCGCCAGCCTTGACAGGTTTCTTTTTTCCCTTCTTTAAATGTGCCTTTAATTTCTCAGCTCGATCCAAATACTGATTACATTTTGATCTAATGCTCTCTTTTGCTCTGTCACCTTGTGCTTCATCTAAAAAAGAAAACGGAAACAATTACAGGCTTGCTACAAAAATTTAATTTTCTTTTTCCCTGACATTTCCCTGATTTCCAGACAAAATTTTCTCTTTTTACCTTGACCCTAACGAATATTCTGATTCACTCTAAAAATTATTAGATACTCAAAAAAATGTCTTAAATTTATTTACAAATTTCTTCAAAAGTCAAATTATTCGAAAACATCAATAACTTCTTTTTTAAATAAATATTTAATCATTATTATTTTTCCATAGGAAATAAGATTTTTCAAAAGATTCAAATTCAAACCTTTTAAAATTCAATAACTTTTAAGAATATTATTACAAAACATGACCGAGGGATAAAATAATTATTTTATATTATGAAAGAATATTGTTGCTGTAACTTCTTTAAAATTATTTTCGTCAATTCAAATCAATTATTATTTTTCCAGAATTTTTAACTAAATTTTTCTAAATTTTTCTTTAAATCAATTATTTTTAATAATTTTTGAAAGAGTTCTTTGACAATTTTCAAATCCATTTGTTTACAATATTCAATTTTACGAAATTTCAATTATTCGTAAATTCTTCAATTAATTATATATTAGAAAATAAAAACTTCAAATAATATAAAAAAAATTCATTTAAACTTTTTCAAAAAAATTAATTTCAAAATTCAATTATGTATTTCCAAAAATTCATGCTATATTGCTTTTAATATTCAATTACTATCTAAAATTTTAACTGAAATTCATTTTTAAATCAATTTTTATTAAAAAATTCTACAGAATTCAATTATTTAAATACAAAAATAGATAATTTATTGAACAATTAAATATAACTTAAAATTCAATTACCATAAAGAATTTTATCAACATAATTTTTAAAAAATTGAATTCTATCAAAAAATTTTAATAAAATTTTTAAGAATAATTACATTTTTCGAGAGATTTGATTAAAATTGTACTAAAAATAATTGAAATACTGCGATGAGTTTTATTATTTGTGAAAATAATTGAATTCCTAAAAAGAATTTTATTATTTACAAAAATAATTGAATGATTACGAAAAAATTTATGGAAAATTTGTAAATAATTGAATTTCTGTGAAATTTTTACTATTCTATGAAAATAATTAAAGGTTTGAGAAGAATTTTATTAAATTTTTTAAAAATAATTGAATTCTTTTGGAAAATTTTATTAAAATACATAGTAGATATTAAAAATCATTGAATTGAGGAAAATTTTTAAAAATAATTGAAATTTTTTCAAGAATTTTTAAAAATAATTGGAATTTTGCCAAGAATTTTAATAAAATTTTTAAAAATAATTGAATTTCGGAGAAGAATTTTTTAAATTTATAACAATAATTGAAATTTTGACGAGAATTTAAAAAAAATTTTAGAACATAATTTAATTTCTGCGAATTATTTTATAACTTTTGAAAATAATTGAATTTTCTGCAATCATTTTTTAGAATTTTTAACTAAAATTTTTCTTTACATCAATTATTTTTAATAATTTTTGAAAAAGGTTTTTAATAATTTCCAAATTTATTTGTTTATAATTCAATTTTACACGAAATTTCGTTTATTCGGAAATGCTTCAATTAATTATATATTAGAAAATAAAAACATGAAATAATTTTTTTTTTAAATTCAGTTAAACTTTTTCAAAAAAATTAGTTCTGCAGAATTATTAATTAAAAGTATGAAAAATTCAGATTTTCAAAGATTTTAATATAAAACTATTTCAAAATTAAATTATTTTTAAAAATTTACGTTTTAATGCTTTTAAATGTGAAATTATTATCTAAAATTTAAAGTGAAATCCATTTTTTAATCAATATTTATTAGAAAATTCTACGAGAATTCAATGATTTATTTATTTCTTTATTTTCCAATCAATTAAATACAAAAATAAATAATTTATTGAATAATTGAATATTTCTTAAAATTTAATTCTCATAAAGAATATTATCAACTAATTTTTAAATAATTGAATTCATTCAACGAATTTTAATAAAATTTTAGGAATAATTACATTTTTCTAGGAATTCGATTAAAATTGAAATTTTGCGATTAGTTTTATTATTTATAAAAATAAATTTAATTCTTAAAAAGAATTTCATTATTTACGAAAATAATTGAATTTCTGTAAAAAATTGTATAGTTTATGAAAATAATGGAATTATTACGAAGAAATTTATAAAAAAAATTGTAAATAATTAAATTCTTGTAAATTTTTATTATTTATGAAAGTAATGATTATCTAAAATTTTATCTGAAATGCATTTTTTAATCAATATTAGAAAATTTTACGAGAATTCAATTATTTAAATACAAAAATAATTTCAATAAATAATGTATTGAAGAATTGAATGTTTCTTAAAATTGAATTCTCGTAAATAATTTTATCAACAAATTTTTAAGAATAATTACATTTTTCGAGAAATTCGATTAAAATTGTATTAAAAATAATTGATATTCTGCGATGAGTTGTATTATTTGTGAAAATAATTGAATTCCTAAAAAGAATTTCATTATTTACAAAAATAATTGAATCTCTGTAAAAATTGTATAGGTTATGAAAATAATGGTATTTTTACGAAGAAATTTATAACAAATTTGTAAATAATTGAATTCTTGTAAAAATAATTAAATTTCCTAAATTTTGTAATATAATTGAATTTTTGCAATCATTTGTAACTTCTCCAAAATTCAAATTTTTTAGTGTTTTTAACTAAAATTCTTTTATAAATGCAATATTTTTAATAATTATTATATATATATATTAAAACATTTAACTAATATCAGAAAAATTTGAAATATTACAATTTTTCCAAAATCTAAGTTCTTTAAAATTCATAATATTAAATTCATTAAAAACTGAAGTTTTATAAAATTTCAAATGAATACCTTTTGAAGTTCATCTATTAATGAATAAAGTTATTTAATTAGAAATTATTGTCAGAAATAGAAAAAATTGAAGGTTTCGTGGTAATTTCATAGTTTATGAGGCAAACAAAAAAAAAAAACACAAAAATTCATAATTTTCTTATGAATTCTAAAAATTTAATTTTTTCCAGTACTTTTAATAAAAATCCCTGACTTCCCCGACCAATTCTACTTTTCCTGACGTTTCCCTGAATTCCCTGACTTCCTGACCTGTGGCAACCCTGAATTATTGTCACTATCATCATTATCAAATTCCAAAAGAATGAAATAATTGTTTTGGCGTTTCAAGGACTTTTACTATTTTACTATATATACGTATTATGTATAAATACCAACATTTGAGAGAATGAAGAAAATATTCTACAGCATGTTCATATAGTCTAAGAGCTTCTTCGTAATTCTTCTTTTTATCCTCTTCGGTAGCTTTAGTGACTAAGTCGATGGCTTTCTGTGGGAAAAAAAAGACGTGGTAAATTATAGATAGTAATTAGTAGTCTACTCGATGATGACACCAGTATCTCAAAAACAATTAAGTCTACGATTTCATCAATTTCTTTACCTGTAAAGTTGTTCCTGCTGCCATTGTTTATAAATATTATTTCGTTAATTCCTACAATTCGTTTATTAGTTTAATGAACAATCGTCACGTCGTTCTAACCTTTAAAATGTTGTCATAAAGAATATATATAAATAAAGAACTATAAGAGATGAGCCAACATGACACGCCTTCAAATAGTTGGTCTAAACCTGACAATAGTTTTACTCGTACGAAACTTTTCATAAAATTATCAAGTCTTTCAAATCACATAGGATGAATTATTTCTTTCAAAACAGGATACTGACACTTCTCCTCGATAATTGTGGATGTGATCATGGATGATAAAATGATGTTTGCAGATTCTTGCCTGTCAAAATGTTAACCTTTAAAATACTAATTCCCTGACGTCATTAAATAGTCATAGAGAATAATATAAGCACAATCGTATTATAGAATTAAAAATTATTGAAGATCATCAACAATTGTAAAATTAATTTACACCAGTTCCATTAACTTAAATATGCGAATCAATTTTGGAGTAATTTCCTAATATTTAATGTCAAATGCAAAAAATTACTAGAAAACATGTAAATGAAGGTTAGTTTTTCTGGGGATATGTTGGAAACACTGGAAATAACTAGTCTAAATATACACTCTGATTGGTCGGTTGTTAATTGACAGGAACAAACATGTCTTTTCCGGTTTATTAAACATTTCCCGCTGTTTATATTCTTTTTGTTATTTCTATTAAGAATTCTCTTGTTATTGAAAAATATTACAAGAAACTTATAATTAATTACATATTTTTTTATTTGAAATTTGTTTATTTATGGTAATATAAGTGTGAATACAGGCGCTTGTAAAATTATAGGTGTGTGAATATAACCAATAAGAGAAATGGATACAAGGGAATGATGTTTGGCCGGTCGCCTAGTGCTGCGGCCATTTTGAGAGATCGTTAGAAGGAAACCAACAGTACAACCAGAAGGACGGTAACATCTAGGTACGGCAGCGGCGTGTCTAACATCTTAACATCACCACCATGGCTGACCCGGAAAAACAGCCCGAACAACCCGCGGCTGTGCAAAAAAAAACAATCATTGGTAAGAAAAAAAAAATTGCATAATTACTTTTTCCTGCTATTTATTTTCACATCCCCGGGAAATCATATCTTCCAACGTCCGCCTCGAGGTAGAACCGCGTTTCCGCGTAATGGCGCCCGCGTCCGCTGCACTCGAGACCATGTGGCCGGCTCAAAAATATGATGAACTAATCGTTTTTCTAAAATCATCGTTTATAAGCAACCAGACAAAAGTTTTATTAGTAAGTGACATTTTCAAAATTTGTTTTTTGTTTTATTTCTTATTTTCCACGCGTATAGCAAATCGTGAATTGTTTCGGTGGATTTGAAATTCAGAGATCGATTTCCAGATTTTTAGATAAGACTCGACGCCTTTTATGGCATCAAGCTACCTCGAGGAATCCATAACCCTAAAGCCATTGGGATAATGTCGTGAAAAGAATGTTTTTCATCTATTTTTTTAATTTAAAAAAAGTCCATTAACATTTTCAAACTAATAGCATTTGTTTTTTTATCCCTTGAGAAATTAAATTCGCTTTATTTATGTACGTCTTGTAAATGAGTATCTTTGTTTCTTGGGAGAAGATGTATTATGTAATGTCTATTTTATTCTTGAACGCTTTTACGCCTTGGGAAATTGCCTCATTTTTTTCGTTAAATTAATATAAAAATTATAAAATTTCAAAATCATATTTTAATTGTTTATAAAAATTTATATTAATTAAGTGAATTTTATCAAAATACAAAAATTGTGTCTAAGTTTGTAATATTATTAGACTATTCAAATAAAAACATTTGTTTATATTGATAATAATTATTAATTATCTAGAATTTTATTATTATTGATATTCAATTTTATTTTTAATTAAATTTTTTATACAATTTGTATTGATTGCGTGAAAATTATTTTTCGTTTGTGTATAATTATTGGTTACATTACATGTTGCTGGATATTAATTAAATTTTTTTTTCTTTTTAATCAGCAACGCAAGTGATGGTTTTCCACATTAAAATCTACTTAATTTATTTTCACTTTTTAAAATTTAAACAATTAAATTGCTTTCTTTTGTAAGGAAAATCGATTCTTAAACTTTATGACCTGGATAATAAAGGGTCATATGCAACGTTGAATGCGTAAGAATATTCATAGTGTTAAGAAATAAGTTTAAAATTTCAATTTTTTGCCTCTTGGTGTTTAATTAATCTTAATAATTTATCCTTTTTTTTGGTAATTAATTCTTGTAAATAATTAGGAAGCTTTAAATAAAAATGTTTGTTTACAATTTTTCAGCGTCATTTTGTACATATATAATAATTCTAAGTTGCATTTCTTTTGTTAATTTTAGTCTCTTTTTTCAGGATAATGATAAAGCAAAACAAGTTCAATTAACAGATTAAATATGATACAAAGTGTTTTTTAAATTGATTGAATTTCTTACACGTGTTATTTTGTTTAAGTAAATAGAATTAATAACTTTAATATTAATAACTAAAAAATTACTAAAAAATTTTTTACTTTTATTCAGATTGTTATAGCAAAAGTAGAATAATAAAAGAAAAAGTTGCAAAAATAGTCTTTCTTCTACAGTTTATAGTGAGGATAACCTTGACCACATTCACGTAACTATTCATTGATCTGTTAATGAAAACATACAATAAAAATTTTCTTTTTGTCAATAAAATTTGCAGTTGTCAATATAATTTTTTCAAATTGCTAATTTCCAGAGTTTCTCAAAGTTAATTTTTTTTAAATATAGTATTTATAATATAAATAATAATAAAAAAGATAATAAAATTTTTGGTCACACGTATATTTATAACATTAAATACATCAATCTTTCTATTTCTGAGAACTTGTTACTTGCACAATCTCCGCCTTAACATTTTTTAACAACACGCCCTCTTCTAATGCATGCAATGCTTATAACTATTTCACTTTCTCAAACAAAATGTTTTAATAAATTCTTCCCCCTTTTTTTTCTCAAAAAAGTTTATATTCTAATTCTAAATTTTACCATTTATTTTTGAAAATATTAAAATTGAATCATATTGTTCTAATTTTTATGTTCACGTTCATTTTTTGTATTTGTATTTTTTATGTCTGAAGTCTGATAAAATGTTATCGATATGTTAAAAACATATCTGTAAAGTGCTATGATCCTAAAGTTCTGAACGTTCAAATGAACGAAATTTATTTATTTTCTTCTTTAATTTAAATATTTATTACAATAATTTTTTGTCGATATATAAAATAAATTAATTATAAAGTTTCTAAGTGTAAAATTTAAGTTTTTAATTTTTATTGCAAACATAAATTATAAAAACATTTCTAATAAAAAGTGTTTCGTTCATTTGAACGTTCAAAACTTGTGGATCATAAAGTGCTTTCAGTGGCTATCAAAAATTATATTCTTTTTCTGCCTTAGGGGTTATTTCACTTCTTTTTTTTTTTTTTTTTTAAACTCGATTTGCAAAAGCTTTTTGATTTTTTTTTCTTTTTGAGAAATCCGATTCTAATGGAGAAATATGAATGACATTGTATTTTCTCGATTTTTTTTTATTAGAAATGTAAAAGTTTTTTTTTTCCAAAGTGCTGTAAATATGTTATTTTATTTATTTTTTTGTACCTATTTATACTGATCACTTGCAGGCTTCACAGTCTGTCCCCTATTTCCCTAAAAGTCCTCTTTTTTAATTTTGGCCCCTAAACGTACCCTATTTTGAAAATTTCCCCTATTTTTTTCGTCGCAGGAAATAAATTATTTTCAATAATTTTTATGTAATTCTGCAAAAGAATTCAATTATCTTGATAACTAACAAAATTCTCCCTATAAAATCAATTATTTTAAAGATTTTTAATGACATTCTTTTCCAAAATTCAATTATTTTGATAAATATCAAAATTCTTCTCAAAAATTCAATTATTGTCAAAAATTTTAATTAAATTCTTGGCAAAATTTCAATTATTTAAACAAAATTTAATAAAATACTTTGCACGAATTCAATTATTTTTATAAATTTTAATTAATATCTCGTCAAGAATTCAATTATTTTTATAAATAGCAAAATTTTTCGCCAAAAATTTAATTATTTTCAAAAATTTAAATAAAATTCTTTGCAACATTTCAATTATTTTTAAAAGTTTTTCGCAATTCAATGTTTTTAAATATTTACTATTTTCGTAAAATTTATCAACAGATTTAATTATAGAAAAAACTTGTTGATACAATTCTACGAAAAGATTCCATTATTTTCATAAATAATAAAATTCCATTTACGAATTGAATTATTTTCATCGCAGAATTTCAAATATTTTTAATACAATTTTAAATGAATTCCTTGAAAAATGCAATAATTATTAAAAATTTTATTAAAACTAGAGGAAAGAATTCAATTTTAAGAAACATTCAATTATTCAATAAAACTATAAATTTCATTGCAATAATTCAAATATTTTCATATATAACATTTAATTCGTCGCAGAAAATCAATTATTTTCAAAAATTTTAAGTAATTTTGCAAAAGAATTCAATTAGCTTGATAAACAACAAAATTGCATAAATTCTTCCCATAAATCAATTATTCTAAGGAATTTTAATAAAATTCTTTTCCAAAATTCAATCATTTTGATAAATATCAAAATTCATTACAAGAATTATTCAATTCTTTTGAAAAGTAATAAAATACTTTGCAGAAATTAAATTATTTCAAAATTTTTTAAAAATTCTCGTCAAGAATTAAATTATCTTTATAAATAGATAGGAAAATTCTTCTCAAGAATTATTGTAAAAAAATTTCTAAAAATTCTCCTCAAGAAGTAAATTATTTTCAAAAATTTTAATAAAATTCTTCTCATGAATTCAATTGTTTTCAAAAATTATTATTTAAATTCTTCTCAGGAAATCAATTATTTTTAAAAAATTTAATAAAATTCTTCAAAAAGTTTTCAATTATTTTCAAAAATTGTTATAAAATTCTTTAATATAACAAATTTCATTAAAATTTTAATTAAATTCCTTAAAAGAAATTAAATATTTTCAAAAGTTGTTAATACAATTCTTCGTAAAAATTAGATTTTAAGAAACATTGAATATTATTTATTTTTGTATTTAAATAATTGATTTCTCGTAGAATTAAATTATTGTTTTTCGTACTTTTAACTAACAATTCTGTAGAATTAATTTTTTTTGAAAAAGTTTAATTGAATAATAATTTATGTTATTGATTGAAGGTAGAATTTTAGGTAAAAATTCTAGAAAATGTTAATTGAATTGAAATGATACAAATAATTTTGAAGAAATTACAATAACAATATTCTTATAATAATAAACTAATGATTTTGTCAGTCGATCATCTTTAATTAATTAATTAATTAATAATAATAATTAATTAATTAATTAATTAAATCTTTAATGGATCACTCCGAGTTGAAGACTCGGAGTAATCCATTTCTTTATGTTTTGTAACAATTTTTATTTAAATTCTTTAATTTTAAAAAGGTTTGAATTTGAAATTTTTGATCATCTTAATTCCAATGAAAAAAAATGATTAAATATTTATTTTAAATAAAACTATTGATGTTTTCGAATAATTTTACTTTTGAAGAAATTTGTAAATAAATTTAATAAAACATTTTTTTGAGTATCTAATAATTTTTAGGGTGAATCAGAATATTCTTTAGGGTCAGAGAAAAAGTCAAAGTTGTGTTTGGAAATCAGGGAAAAATAAAGTTAAATTTTTGTGGCAACCCTGTATAAATAAATAATATTTTTATCTTTATTTAACCAATTTTTATGGTCCCCTAAAAGTCCCCTATTTTTTAATTTTCAGTCCCGTATTTCCCCTAAAATACTTTTTAGGGGCACTGTGAAGCCTGCACTTGATAATTAATGAAATAGTGAATTTTAATTAATTTTATCAATAAAGGCTAATAGGTATTTTTTTATATTTCAGCTACCAAAGTCACCGGGACCGTAAAATGGTTCAACGTGAAGAGTGGTTACGGGTTCATCAACAGGTGAGTTTAATTTCTATATTAAAATGTAGAGCAGAAAATATAAGTTTTATTTATTTTTTGTTCAGGCACTTTATCACTTCAATATTTTGCTTTGAGGAAATGTATATTTATTATTATTATTATTATTCATGAACTTTAAAAGTTGCGATAATAGAATTTAATTTTCCTTCTATGCTACTTCTAAATTTGTCTATGCAGAAACAGTAATTTGGCTTTTTGCCAAAAGAGGCCTTATACATTGAATGCGATATTTCCAAGCCAATACGTACGATAATTGATTGTCATGATTTGGAAATTTTCCTATCTCTATCTGATGTGTTACAAATCGCAATAATTATATTTCTTTTTGTTCGGTTTAATAAAAAAAATTGAAAATTTGTTTTTTAAATGAAATTATTTAATTATTTGAAAATTACATTTTATTTATTTCAAACAAATATTTTTGTGTTTATTTATTTTTCTTAAAAACAGTTATTGATAGATAGAAAGAGATCATTTTTGATTATTGATCTTGACTTTTAGAGAGAAAGTATTTTACAGATGTCGACCGATTTAAATTGCACTTCTGTCTACTCGTTGTGCACACTTGTTCACATCGATACAAAATTCATAAATATCGGTTATAGTTTTATTTGATAAAACGCCAGCTTGGCTATTTCAAGTCATATATTTGTCATCCTTTTCCTATCCAGGTTATGTGTAATTTTTTTTACGAGTATACTCATAAATTTCTAATAGATTTAGTTTTTATCATTTTTATTGGCTTTTTATTTATCAACTTCCATTACAACTCGACGTTCTTTTGCAAATAAAATGTAATTTTCTTTTTAAATTCAAATTACTCTGCATTTTAAAGAAAGAATATTTTTAAAAATGTGTCAACTTTATTCATAATATTGATGTAAGAAATGAAGTACCTAATAATAAATTATTAATGACTTAATTACTATTAGCGCGAAAAATAATTATATTTCATTTATTTTATTTCATATAAAAACTTAGCTTATTTGGGTTTATTTTAAGGAGCGAAATTTGTTTTTAGTATTTTTTTATTAGTAGCAACTAATATAGCCTGCTAGAAACTTTTGTATTTTAAAAATATATTTATCAACCAAGTATATAGTTGGGAATTATTCGTATAATGAAGTAATTTGTTGGAAAAAGAGAAATATTCAGTTTGTCTGGCACGAATCTTAAAAGTTTCCTAATTTTGTTTGCTAAAATCAGCAGAATTGGACTATTTGAAATATTCAAATACTCGCTTTCATACAAAGGCGGTTGGATGTAGAAACTGCTAAGTGATAAAATCGTGAGTCCACAAAAGAGGGGAAGCCTTAGGGTAGAGATCTGAAATAACCCAGCAATGGGAAACCTTTTAATTTGCCCCAGCAATTATTAAGAACGCCCTAACTTCTACATCTACACTCTTATGCAATGTATTTGTTATCAAATTCTTCTTCAAAATTTATCTTGTTTCTCATAAATATTGCAAATATTTTATTTTCTTCTATTTGATTTATTTATTTATTTTGTTTTTGTTTTCTATACTAATTACCTTTTGTTTTTGACAAATTTTTAATATAATAATTTGAAGCCATTTATTACCAGATAGTCAGTTTTGATTAAAACGAAATTGACTATTTAAATAAATTAAAATGGCAGAGAAATTATTCGTCTCGACCCATTGGACCTCGTCGTTTTTTCATGGCTTTGGTTAAAATTACGAGACGTACAGAATAAAAAAAAAGGAAATATATTTATTTTTTATCGCATTCCTAACTAATAATAAATAATTGCATATTCGGTAAATTTATCATCAATTTACCGTAGCTTTTGAAAAATAGTTGATTAATAATAAACAATATTTTCAATTAGCGTCAATTTCAAGTAACGGTTGATAATAAAATTTCCAACTAATAGAGAGTTGCCACAGGTCAGGGAATTCAGGAAAAGTAGAATTAATCAGGGATTTTTTATTAAAAGTACTGTCAAAAATTAAATAAGAAAATTCTGAATTTTTGTGTTTTTTTTTGTTTGACTCATAAACTATGAAATTACCACGAAACCTTCAATTTTTTCTATATCTGACAATAATTTCTAATTAAATAATTCCATTCATAAATAAATTTCTTGGCAAAATTTCAATCCTTTTCAAAAATTTTCTTCAATTAAATGATTTTTAATAATGTACAATTTTAATACATCTTTCCAAAAGAATTCAATTATTTTCGTAAATAATAAAATTCTGTTTAGGAATTCAATTATTTTCATATAAATAATAAAACTTATCGTAGAATTTCAATTATTTTTAATTCAATTTTAATCAACTTCTTCGAAAAATGTAATTATTATTAAAATTTTTTTATAAATTCGTCAAAAGAATTCAATCATTTAAAAATTTATTGATAAAATTCTTTATGAGAATTCAATTTTGAGAAACATTCAATTATTCAATAAATTATTTATTTTGTATTTAATTGATTGTAAAATAAATAAATAAATAAATAATTGAATTCTCGTAGAATTTTCTGATAAATATTATTGATTAACAAATGGATTTCAGTTAAAATTTTAAATAATCATTGAACATTGAAAGCATTACAGAGTAAATTTTTAGAAATAATTTAATTTTGAAAAGGTTTCAAATTAAAATCTTTAAAAATCTGAATTTTTCTTACTTTTAAATAACAATTCTGCAGAATTAATTTGTTTTGGAAAAGTTTATTTTAAATGAATTTTTAAAAAAATTATTTAATGTTTTTATTTTCTAATATATAATTAATTGAAGAATTTCCGAATAAACGAAATTTCGTGAAAAATTGAATTTGTAAACAAATTTTCCAAAAGAATTCGATTTATTAAAAAAAAATTTAATAAAATTTTACTCAAACCTTTAATTATTTTCATAGAATAATAAAAATTTCACAGGAATTCAATTATTTACAAATTTTCCATAAATTTTTTCATAATCATTCAATTATTTTCATAAATAATAAAATTTTTACAAGGTATTCAATTATTTTCGTAAATAATTAAATTCTTTTTAGAAATTAAATTATTTTCATAAATAATAAAACTCATCGCAGTATTTCAATTATTTTTAGTACAATTTTAATCAAATCTCTCGAAAAATGTAATTATTCTTAAAACTTTTATTAAAATTCTTTGAAAGAATTCAATTATTTAAAAATTACAGTTGATAAAATTCTTTATAAGAATTGAATTTTAAGAAATATTCAATTATTTAATAAATTATTTATTTTTCTATTTAAATAATTGAATTCTGTAGAATTTTCTAAGAAAAATTGATTTAAAAATGAATTTCAGTTAAAATTATTTCAGATAATAATTGAATATTAAATTTTTAGAAATAATTGAATTTTGAAAAGATTTCAAATTAAAATTTTCGAAAATTTTAATTTTTTAATACTTTTAACGAACAATTCTGTAGAATTAATTTTTTTGAGAAAGTTTAATTGCCGTTTTTTTTAAATTATTTGAAGTTTTTTTTTTTTTAATATATAATTGAAGAATTTACGAATAATTGAAATTCGTAAAATTGAATATTCTAAACAAGTGGATTGGAAAATTGTCAAAGAACTTTTTCGAAAATTATTAAAAATAATTGATTTAAAAGAAAAATTTTAGTCAAAACTTCTAAAAAATAATAATTGAATTGATGGAAATAATTTTGAAGAAGTTGTAGTAACAATATTCTTTTATAGCATAAAATAATGATTTTATCATTCGGTTATATTTAATTATTACAAAACATGAAGAAATCGATGACTCCGAGTCGAAGACTCGGAGTGCTCGATATCTTCATGTTTTGTAATAATATTCTTAAAAGTTATTGAATTTTAAAAGGTTTGAATTTGAATCTTTTGAAAAATTTTAATTCCTATGGGAAAAATAATAATGATTAAATATTTATTTAAAAAAGAAGTTATTGTTTTCGAATAATTTTACAATTAGAGAAATTCGTAAATAAATGTAATAGAACATTTTTTTGAGTATCAAATAATTTTTAGAGTGAATAAATATTTAGAGTAAATATTCTTTCGGGTCAGGGAAAAAGAGAAAATTTTGTCTGGAAATCAGGGAAAAGTTAGGGAAAAACAACATTAAATTTTTGTAAAAACCCTTGTAAATAGTAATAATAACTGTTTTTCTTATAATGGAAGTAGAATGGAAAATATAATGGAATGGACTTATAAAGTCTTGGGTAAAATAAATTTTTGCTGTGATGTTGAAAGAAAGGTGAAATGGTGAGATATATTGGAAAGAGATGTTGTTGTCTTATTGGTCTCATGGTAAATTCGTTGGTGCGAAAAAGTTGAGAACTGATAGAGAGCCTTTTGGAAAAATAGTCTTTAAAAGAAGTCGGGAATTGAATGGAAAACGAAAATAGTATATATATAGTTGATAGCTTTTGAATCGTGCGAGCAAAAGACATTTCTTTATGGTGTGCTGCTTGGATTTTTGAGGGAGAATGGGCGAATGAGAGACGAAGAGAGTAGGAAACCCCCCTCATAGTATAGCTACTTTATGTTTTGTGTGAGTTTGGTTTGTATATGTGTGCTTTTCTATCTGTTCCGGGAGAGGACGCGCACTAGTTCAATGACCTTTCAACTCCATGCTTTGCTCTGCAGCTTCACAAGCTCCAGCTATATCTGTACATCTCGACGAATCTATAAAGTTGATTGGAGGGAAGGGGAAAATCGCTGATGTTCAGTGATGTACACACGCATTCTCACCTACAATGAAATGGCAAAACTTTTATTTTTCCCCTTGAAAATATATATCTATATATCAAATGTATTCTGAGATTTACTTTTAATTTTCCGATTTCCTCGATGAAAATTCAAGTTGTCACAATGATTTTGCTTTTTTTCTCTCTCAAAAAAAAAAAAAAAAATAAACGAGAGACGAAAAATATTTTTAATACTGAAATTTTATTTTATTTTCAATAATTTTTAAGTAATTCTGCAAAAGAATTCATTATCTTGATAACTAACAAAATTCTCCCTATAAAATCAATTATTTTAAGGATTTTTAATGACATTCTTATCCAAAATTCAATTATTTTTATAAATAGAAAAATTTTTCGCGAAAAATTCAATTATTGTCAAAAATTTTAATTAAATTCTTGACAAAATTTCAATTATTTAAACAAAATTTAATAAAATACTTTGCACTAATTCAATTATTTATTTATAAATTTTAATGAATATCTCGTCATGAATTCAATTATTTTTATAAATAGCAAAATTTTTCGCCAAAAATTCAATTATTTTCAAAAATTTAAATAAAATTCTTTGCAATATTTCAATTATTTTTAAAAGTTTATCGCAATTCAATGTTTTTAAATATTTACTATTTTCATAAAATTTATCAACAGATTTAATTATAGAAAAAACTTGTTGATACAACATACAATTCTACGAAAAGATTCAATTATTTTGATAAATAATAAAATTTCATTTACGAATTCAATTATTTTCATCGCAGAATTTCAAATATTTTTAATACAATTTAAAATAAATTCCTTGAAAAATGCAATTATTATAAAAAATTTTATTAAAACGTGAGGAAAGAATTAAATTTTAAGAAACATTCAATTATTCAATAAAACAATAAAATTCGTTGCAATAATTCAAATATTTTCATAAATAACATTTAATTCGTCGCAGAAAATCAATTACTTTCAAAAATTTTTAAGTAATTATGTAAAAGAATTCAATTAGCTTGATAAACAACAAAATCGCATAAATTCTTCCCATAATATCAATTATTCTAAGAAATTTTAATAAAATTCTTTTCTAAAATTCAATTATTTTGATAAATTTCAAAATTCATCACAAGAATTTAATTCTTTTGAAAAGTAATAAAATACTTTGCAGAATTAAAAAAAATAAATATTATTTTTGCAGAATTATTTTCAAATTTTTTTAAAAATTCTCGTCAAGAATTAAATTATCTTTATAAATAGATAGGGAAATTCTTCTCAAGAATTATTGTAAAACATGTTTTAAAAATTCTCCTCAAGAAGTCAATTATTTTCAAAAATTTAATTAAAATTCTTCTCATGAATTCAATTGTTTTCAAAAATTATTATTTAAATTCTTCTCAGGAATTCAATTATTTTTAAAAAATTTAATAAAATTCTTCAAAAAGTTTTCAATTACATATTTTCAAAAATTGTTATAAAATTCTTTACTATAATAAATTTCATTAAAGTTTTAATTAAATTCCTTAAAAGAAATTAAATATTTTCAAAAGTTGTTAATACAATTCTTCGTAAAAATTAAATTTTAAGAAACATTCAATATTATTTATTTTTGTATTTAAATAATTGATTTCTCGTAGAATTAAATTATTGTTTTTGTATTTTTAACTAACAATTCTGTAGAATTAATTTTTTTTGAAAAAGTTTAATTGAATAATAATTGATGTTATTGATTTAAAGTAGAATTTTAGTTAAAAATTCTAGAAAATGTTAATTGAATTGAAATGATAAAAATAATTTTGAAGAAATTACAGTAACAATATTCTTATAATAATAAACTAATGATGTTGTTAGTCGGTCATCTTAAATTATTATAAAACATAAAGAAATAATTTTCTAATAAGTTGTTCAATTTGAAAAGGTTAGAATTTGAAATTTTTGAACATCTTAATTCCAATGAAAAAAAATGATTAAATATTTATTTTAAATAAAACTATTGATGTTTTCGAATAATTTTACTTTTGAAGAAATTTGTAAATAAATTTAATAAAACATTTTTTTGAGTATCTAATAATTTTTAGGGTGAATCAGAATATTCTTTAGGGTCAGGGAAAAAGCCAAAGTTGTGTTTGGAAATCAGGGAAAAATAAAGTTAAATTTTTGTGACAACCCTGTATAAATAGATTATATTTTTATCTTTATTTAACCAATTTTTATGGTCCCCTAAAAGTCCCCTATTTTTTAATTTTCAGTTCCCTATTTCCCCTAAAATACTTGTTAGGGGCACTGTGAAGCCTGTATTTTATATTTGAATTGAATGTTAGCAATTTATGTAACATTTTTTGTTTCTCATTTCTCGAGGGGGAGAAAACGGAAAATCGAATCTTTTATGAGGGTGGAATATACGAATTGAACAATTTTGATGTGAATTGAGGACTTTAAAAAGCTCTTAGCGTAGTTGAAATCATGGCATTATCAATCATAATCTACACATATTCCGATTTTCGGCGGAAATGGGGATTTTAAGACTCATTTAAATAATGGGGAAATTTTGCACTAGTAGAGTTTCAAAGCCAGATATAATAGTCTTACTCGTGTTGAGAATACGGAAGAAAGAATAGCATTAATTCAGTATGATTCAGTTAAGAGTTAATTCAATTAAGCAAAATATGTGTACGTTTGTGCGTTGAAATGACAATATTTCTTTGTTGGGAATTACAAAATTTTAAGTTTAATATGTAATTCTCTTAAAAGGGACGACGAAAATTTATTTATCTTTACATATTTTTTGTAAAGTTCACTTGTCCAAAAAGTTTTTTTTTTCAATATTGATCAACAACTTAAAAAAGAAAAATTTGATACCAATTATTGTTTTCTGTGTAAAAAGTAATTTTTCTCCTATTCATTGGTCAAAAACGTTGTAAATTTCATTCAAATAATTATAAATCAGGATATTGTTCATTTGCAAATTACTAAACTAAGTTCTAAACATATTAACATAATTATTATTTGCATATTTTCAGAAATGACACCAAGGAGGATGTATTTGTCCATCAGGTGAGTTTCTTTACATTTTTGTCTTATCTTAATTTATAAAATTGAAATTAGTATTAGGGATATTATGAAGTAAGGCCATTATGCGCGTATAAAAAAAGACCAAATTTATAAATAATTATATGGGGATTTTTCGATATTTTTTTTTATAAACAATTAAGTAATTAAATTTGTTTGCAAAAACGTCGAAAACTGTATTTTCGGTTTATATATTCGCCATTTTTCGGAGAAACGGTATTTTCAAATTTGATTGAGAAAAGACGAAAAGTTCGTAAATTGAAGAATTTTAGAGAAATTACAAATTACAAATTTAGTTTTTTTTTATCATACGCGCATGGTGGCCTTATCCCATAAATTGTTTCCCATCAAATCTATAAATGGTGTGAAAAATCCCCAATTAATAATATTTATGAAAAGTGAAAAAACATTGAGGTTTATTTTTGAAAAAGTAGTTAATGTACTTTTCTCGTTGGATTACAGTCGGCAATTGTTAAAAACAACCCGAAAAAGGTCGTACGTAGTGTGGGTGATGGAGAAGTCGTCGAATTCGACGTGGTGATTGGCGAGAAAGGGAATGAGGCGGCTAATGTCACTGGACCCGAAGGGGAAGCAGTTAAGGGATCGCCCTACGCCGCTGACAAACGCCGTGGATATCGCCAATGGTTCTATCCAAGACGCGCGAACGCCAGACCTCAACGAAGACCACGTGAAGGACAAGAAGGTCAAGCGTCTGGTTAGTAGATTTCCAAGTCTTTTTTTTCTATTATAATATTAGTTTTCAAACAAATTACAATATGTTCAGGCCTCGGATATTATAATATTTTCGACTATTTTCAAAAAATGCGACTTCTTTCGACTTATTTTAAAAAATCACGAATTTTTCGACTTTTCTTCCAAATATTGCAATAATTTTTAGTACTTATTTTCGAAATTTACAATTGAAAATTAGTTTCAATAAATATTGAAATTTTGTAAAATTTAATTGAAAATTATTGATTTTTTTTAAAGTGTTTGATAAAAATTTTTGAAAATCAACATTTGAAGAATTTTAATTGCAAATTTTGAAAATAATTGAAATTAAATTCCTCGGGAGAAATTAATTTTTAAAACAATTTTTAATATATTTCGAATAAATTCAATTATTCTCTAAAATCTTAATAAATCCTTCGAAACAATTCAATTTGTTTTTATAAATGGTAAAATTCTTCGCAAGAATTCAATTATTTTTATAAATATAGTAAAATTCTTTGCAGGAATTCAATTATTTTCAAAACATATTTATGTAATTAAATTTCTCGGAAGAATTCAAATATTTTCAAATATTTCCATAAAATTCAATTATTTCCTAAAATTTTTAATAATTTCTTCGAAATTTTGTAAAATTTAATTGAAAATAATTGATTTTTTTCAAAGTGTTTGATAATAATTTTTGAAAATAAACTTTAAAAGAATTTTAATTGCAAATTTTGAAAATAATTAAAATTAAATTCCTCGGAAGAATTTAATTTTTAAACCAATTTCGAATATATATAACGAATAAATTCAATTATTTTCTAAAATTTTAATAAATCCTTCGAAACAATTCAATTATTTCTATAAATGGCAAAAATTCTTCCCAAAAATTAAATTCTTTTTATAAATAGTAAAATTCTTTGCAATAATTCAATTATTTTTAAAACATATTTAATTGAGTTTCTCGCAAGAATTCAATTATTTTCAAATATTTCCATAAAATTCAATTATTTACTAAAATTTTTAATAATTTCTTCGAAACAATTCAACTATTTTTATAAATTACTAAATAAATTTTCAAAATTTACAATAAAACAGAGTTTTAATAATTGAAATTTTGTAAAATTTAATTGAAAATAATTGATTTTTTTCAAAGTGTTTGATAAAAATTTTGTGAAAATAAACTTTAAAAGAATTTTAATTGCAAATTTTGAAAATAATTGATTTCTCAAAAATTTTAATAAAAAATCTTCAAGTGTAAATTAAAAAATGGTAATTAATGAAAATTAGCTAAAAAAAATTATATTAAAATATTTTTGACAAAAATAATTCTTAGAATTTTTGCATTCTAATTTTTTAAAATTCAATTATTTTCAATATTTTTAAATACAAATTTCCAAAAATTCAAATACACACAAAAAATAATAACATTACAATTTTTTACAATTATTTTTAATATTTTAACAACATATGACTTTTTTAGATTTATTAAAACTTTAGAGAAATCGCGTTTATATTAATAATTGAAATTCTTTAAAAATTCAATTATTTTTTAATAGAATTTACCAAATTTCAATTGTTTGGTAATTTTTCAATTCTATACAATTGAAAAACTATTATCTTTCATAAATTATTTTAAAAATATTTTTGAAAAATTAATTTTAAGAATTTCTTTATTATAATTTTTTGAAAATTAATTAATTAGTTAAAAAACATGGGACAGTTAGAATTATTATAAAGAACTGAATTTTTTTGTCTAAATAATAAATCTGTTTATATTGTGGCCTTAAGGTCACAATATGAACAGATTTATTTGACAAAAATTAAGGTCCTGAAAACATTCTAAGGGGTCGTCCATAAGCCACGTGGACAGTTTTTCAAAGATTTTTGACCCCCCCTCCCCCCTTGTGGACACAAAAATACATGGGATCGTGGACATTTTCAAACATTTTTCAACCCCTCCCTCCCCCCAAAAGTGTCCACGTGGTATATGGACGACCCCTAAGTTGTATTTAAATAATTGAATTCTTTAAGAACTTTCGGAAAATTATTAAAGATAATTGATTTCCAGAAGAAGTTTGATTGAAAATTGTAGAAAATAATTGAAAAATTTTAAGAGAAATAAAGTTGTAAATTTTAGAAGTTATTAAATTTCAGAAAGTTTTAAATAGAAATTTTTAAAATTTTATTCCCGTATAAAAACAAACAAGAAGTATTTAAATATTTATTTAACGAAATTATTCAAGTTTTAAATAATTAAATTTAGAAATCAGTGATAAAAAATAAAATTTTTGTGATGACACTGAATTAAATAAACGACTTTTTCGACTTTTTTTTCTATTTTAAATCGACTGAAGCGACTTTAGCGTTTTTTTGCACTTTAAAGTCGATCCGAGGCCTGTATTTTATTTATAAAGATTAATAATGAAATTTGATTTTTAGGTGATGGCAAACAGGAAGGAGAAGCTAGCGCTGGTGAAGGTGGACCACAAGTGCGTCGTTATCGACCACGACGTCATTACGATGGATATTATCGAGGAGGACGTCGTTCAGGTCCACCTCAACAACAAGGTGAAAATGGGACAGAAGGCGGTGAGCAAGGAGGTGAGGGAACTGGAGACGTGGCACCACGAGGTGGAGGACGCGGACGAGGTGGTCCATCTCGTCGCTTTTTCCGTCGTAATTTCCGCGGTGGCAGGGGTGGCGGTCCTTCTAGACGTCCACGTAGCCAAGATGGACAGGTAAAAAACAATTCAATTTTCATATTTCCAATTTTTTAGAAACTAATAGACAAGAAAGTCAGGTGCTTTTTCCATTTTTTGGTATTTGCTTTTTTTCTACTTACTTTTACTTCATACCGAGAATTTCCACTCCTCGTTAAAAATTTGTTATTAAATGTCAAAAAATTTACTTTCAAGAGGTAAGGAAATTTTTGGGATGAATTAGAAATTTGGCATGATAATAATTTAATAAACATAGGTGAATGACTTCTTTTCCTTGACTAAAATCTTTTGGCGTTTTAAAGTGGCAACAATATGATACCAAGTTAATTTATTAGTTACAAAATATTATTTTTAATTAATTACAATCATCGTAATTTCAGGCCTCGGATATGACTTTTTCGATTATTTTCAAAAAATGTGACTTTTTTCGACTTATTTTCAAAAATTGCGACTTTTTCGACTTTTTCTTACAAATTTTACGATAAAATACCACATTTTTAGAATAAACTGCAACTTATTTCGATTTTTTAGTGTGAAAAGTATTCAAATCTTTGAAAAGTTATTTCTAAATAATTTTTCTAATTAAATTTTCGAAATATACAAATAAAAAGATTTTGAATAATTGAAATTTTGTAAAATTGAATTGAAAAATTATTTTTTTTTCAAATATTTATTACAATTTTTGAAAATCAACTTTTGAGGAGTTTTAATAGCAAATTGTGAAAATAATTGAATATACGATTGAAAACAATCATTTTCAACATTTTTTATTTAAATTCAACAAAAAATTAGTTTTTCTTAAATTGTACAAAAATTCTTTAAAGAAATTCAAATATTTTCGTAACATTGCATTGAAATATTTTTAAAAAATTGAGTCTTGAAATTTTGTTCATTAAAATTTTTTAAAATTCATTTTTATTAGATTTATTTTATTCAAAAATAATTATCTTCGAACAAAATAAATTTTTTTCTATTAATAAATTGTTGTTTTCTAAAGTAATAACCTTTGCTACAATTTATTTATTAGAATTTAAGTATTATTTTCAATACATTTTTAATTAAATTTCTATAAAGAATAAAATTATTTTCAAAAATTTTAATGAAATTCTTTGAACAATTCAATTTTTTTCAAAATCATTTTAATAAAATTCGTCGCAGAAATCCAATTATGTTTAAAAATTTACAAAAATTCTTGTCGAAATTTCAATTATCTTTATAAATATTAAAATTTTTCTCCCAAAATCAATTATTTTCAAAACTTTTAATAAAATTCTTGGCAGAATTTCAATTATTTTTAAATATACAATTTTCATCAAATTTCTCGAAAAATGGAATTATTCTTAAAAATTTTATTAAAATTTGTCAAGAGAATTCAATTATTTAAAAATTTGTTGATAAAATTCTTTATGAAAATTTAATTTAAAGAAACAATCAATTGTTTAAGGGGATGTCAAAGTCGATTGGATTTTTGCATTGAGCTTCAATGGGAAAATCGCATCGACTTTGACATCCCCTTAATATAATGTTTATTTTTATAGTTAAATACTTGAATTCTCGTAGAATTTTCTAATAAATATTGATTTAATAATGAATTTCAAATTAAAATCTTTGAAAATTTGAACTTTTCATACTTTTAATTCAATTATTTACAAAATTTTCAATAACTTTCTTCGAAATACAAATTCAATTATTTTCATAAGCAATAAAATTTTCACTGTAATTCAATTATTCAAAATACAAAATTTCATAAAATTTTTCGAAAAATATAAAATGTTTAAAAAGATTTTTATAAAATTCATCGTAAGAATTCTATTATTTAAAAAAAATTTAACAAAGTTCTTTTCAAAAATTCAATTATTTTTATAAATAATAAAATTCTTCACCGAAATTCAATTATTTTTATAAATTTGAATAAAAAAATCGTTCCAAGAATTCAATTATTTATATAAATATTAAAATATCTTCACAGAAATTCAGTTATTTTTTATAAATTTCAATAAAATTCGTTGGAAAAATTAAATTATTTTCAAAAGTAATAAAATTCTTCGCAAAAATTCAATTATGTTCAAAAGTTAAAAAAAAATTCTTGTCAAAATTTCTAGTATTTTTGAAAATAATAAAATTCTTCTACGAAATTCAATTATTTTAGAAAAATTTTAATAAAATTCTTGGGAAAATTTGAATTATTTTCATAAATAATAAAACTCATCGCTGAATTTTAATTATTTTTAATACAATTTTAATCGAATTCCTCGAAAAATGTAATTATTCTTAAAAATTTTATTAAAACTTGTCAAAAGAATTCAATTATTTAAAAATTTGTTGATAAAATTCTTTATAAGAATTATATTTTAAAAATATTCAATTATTCAATAAATTATTTACTTTTGTAATAATGAAATAATTTTGAAAAAGTTTCAAATTAAAATATTTGAAAATTTGAATTTTCTATACTTTTAACTGTCAATTTTAAAGAATTAATTTTTATTGAAAATGTTTAATTTAATTTTTTTGAAAAAATATTTGAAGTTTTTAATTTCTAATATATTTAATTGAAGACTGTCAGAATGATCGAAATTTCGTAAAATTAAATTGTATACAAAAGAATTTGAAAATTCACAAAGAACTTTTTCAAAAATTATTTATTTAAAAATAAAGTTATTGATGTTTTCGAATAATTTTCGTTTTAAAAACCTGGAAAAATTCTATTTTTTAACCTGGAAAACCTGGAAAAGTCAGGGAATTTGAAAAGAGCAAAAGCGTGACAACCCTGAATTAAAATTCTTCATAAAAATTCGATTATTTCTTTTTATATTATTCAAAAATTCAATTATTGTTAAAAGATTTTACCAAATTTCAATTTTTTGGAAATTTTTCAATTGTATAAATTAAAAACCTATAAACATTCAAAAATTAGTTTATAATATATTTAAAAAATTAATTTTAAGAATTAAAGTTAGTTAGTCAGTTACTTTCAACATTTTTGGTTAAATATTTTCAGTAATTAATCTTAATATGTAACTTTTATAAAAAAGGACCATAAACAGTTGCACTTACAATAATTATGGAAACTTGAATTTTTGTATTTAAATAATTAGAAGAAAAATTTAAAATAATAGATTTGGAAATGAAGTTTAGTTAAAAATAAATTGTAGAAAATAAATTTAATTTTAGAAAGGTAATAATTGTAATTTTAAGAAATTATTAAATTTCAGAAGGTTTTAAATTGAAAATTTTTCTAATTTTATTTCCCATGGAAAAACAAACAATAATTAATTAAATATTTATTTAACAAAATTATTAAAGTTTTGAATAATTGAATTTAGAAATCAGTGAAAGGGGAAAATGTGGAAAATACAAAATAAAATTCTTGTGAATGAAATAAATGATTTTTTCGATTTTTTTTTTTGTATTTAAAAATCCGAGACTTGTAATTTGTAATTATTAATTCTTAATAATTGTAAAATAATAATTCAAATATTGTTCTCATTGGAAATTGAGTAAAGCACGTTATTTATATTAGATATTGAATAGTGTGGGAAATAGAATACTGAATGAAAAAGAAAATAGAGACATTAATTATCAGTTATAGTGTTAAATAGCTAATTAAAAAGTGTTGAGATTTTGTTATGGAAATTTTCGACTCGATCAAGGTGAGTGAGGATGAAGAATGTCCTGGTGAGGGGGGTGAAAATGAGTTTACTCAGAGAATTCAACATCCTCGGCATAGAAGAAGCGTTCCCCGTCAGGCTCGTAATAACACTAATAGACGAAGTGCAAATAAAGAAAATGTCCAACCCTCTGAGAATAATAATATTGATACTCATCAACCAATTACAGTCAAGGTTCTTAATGAGACTGGCGATCAATTAATTCAGGTATTATTCGCGAATCGCTTTTTTTCTACATTAAATTAAAAAAAACTAATAATACTTATAAAAGAAAATTCTAACGTGTTGAATTTATCTTCGTGGAAAAAGTAAAACGTATTTTTTTTTTTAGTAAAAACTAATAAAACTTAAAATATAAAACAAATTGATAACGTGTTAATTGACGATTAATTACCTAAAAGTCACGTTGATTTTCTTTTGAAAATTATTATTATCAGTCAAAGATTTCTGACCATAAAAGCAATTGAAAATTCGTCAGCAATTTTAAACTTAGAATTTAATTCTATACAGAGTGAACTGTACGTGTTCTATCTTCTCTTTTCGTTTTTAGTAGTTTGTTTGCTTTTGTTTTGTGAATGTTCTTAGTGTAGTTATCTTTATTTGAAGAAAGTTGCTCGTGCTCGAATTTAGTGATCCCACAACTTTAGGAACACGACCCGAGTTGCTGGGGATTCGGTATACTGAGTTTATTTCACTCTTGCCTTCTAAATCTTTCTTCCTTCTCTACTTTCCTTCTCAGTAAAACTTTTAGCATTATCTAGATTACATTTATATATTATTTTTATTTTATTTCCTAGACTTAGTCTTGCAAGCTTTTCGTTATTTGCATGTTAAAAAATTTCTGAATATGAATTTAAATTTACGAAATATTTTTCCAATATCAATATTTATTCATAAAAATATATTGTAAAATTTGCAAAATAAATAAATTTCGATTATTTGAATGTTCAGAACTTTAGAGACAAATCTTTGCATTCTACACACGTTCAACACATTTTGTCTCTGTGCTTTAGTCCATAAAATAACTTATTACTTAAATTTGAAAATTAAGTTACATATTTGATTGTCAACAAAGTTTTAGAAATTCATATTTTTTGGAAAAATTTAAAGTTATACTTTTTTTAATATTATGTTTCTTAATAGTGATTGAGTAATAAAAATTCTTAATAATTACAATCACGATTGTAAACTTATTGATTAGAAGTAGAGCTTGTAGGCTGGCCGCAAGTCAAGGAATTTGTAAAAATTTTTCAAAAGTCAATCCAAAGAATCCTGGAAAATTATTGTTTTCTAAAGTTATTGTACTTTATTCGTGAAATCTAATTTTTCTTAAATATTTGAAAATTAATTCAATTTTAAAAGAGATGCGCTAACAATTTTCATAAATAGATAAACTTCAAAAGATTGTAATTTAAAATTTTGTAAAATTTCAATTTTGAATGAATTAATTAAATGATAAAAATTTCACAGGAATTCTTCTATTTACAAATTCTTTATAAATTTCTTCGCAATAATTCAATTATTTTAATAAATAATCAAATTCAATTATTCTCATAAATAACAAAAAAACTTTATAGGTTTTCAATTATTTTCATAAATAATAAAACTCATAGCAAAATTTCAATTATTTTTAAAACAAATTTTAATGGAATTTCTCGAAAAATGTAATTATTCTCAAAAGTTTTATTAAAATTCATCAAAGAAATTTAATTATTTTCAAAAAATTTAATAAAATTCTTGTCAAAATTTCAATTATTTTCAAAAACTTTTCTCGATTCAATCAAATTTTTCACAGATATTCAATTATTTTTAATATAATTTTAATCTAATTTCTCGAAAAATGAAATTATTATAAAAAATGTCATTAAAATTCTTCAAAAGAATTTTAATTACCTATTTAAAAATTTGTTGATAAAATTCTTTATGAGAGTTCAATTTTAAAAAAATACATTCCAAAAATTCTTGGAAGAAATTCAATTATGGTTTAAAGTTTAAAAAAATTATCGTCAAAATTTCAATTATCTTTTAGAATAAATAATAAAATTTTTCTCCAAAATTCAATTATTTTTAAAAATTTTAATAAGATTCTTGGCAAAATTTCAATTATTTTCAAAAACTTTTCACAATTCAATCAAATTTTTTACAGAGATTCAATTATTTTTAATACAATTTTAATCTAATTTCTTGAAAAATGAAATTATTCTTAAAAATTTTATTGAAATTCGTCAAAAGAATTTTAATTACTTATTTAAAAATTTGTTGATAAAATTTTTTATGACAGTTCATTTTTAAAAAAAACATTCAACTCTTTAACAAAATAATTTATTTTTGTATTTAAATATTGAATTCTCGTAAAATTTTCTAATAAATATTGATTTAAAAATATGAATTTCAGTTAAAATTTTAGATAATAATTGAATATTCAACTCTCTAAATTTGAATTATTAGTAAAAATGTTTTCTAATTTTAATTAGTGACTGACTATTTGATTTTAAATGAGCAGATTTTACTAATAAATAGTTGTTCTACTAATTTAATAGTAAAATTTACTAATTGAAAAGCAAAACGTTAGTCACTAATTCCAATTAGTAAACATTTTTACTAATTCAAATTTAGAGAGAAGGTATTATAGCGTGAATTTTTAGAAATAATTGAATTTTGAAAAGGTTTCAAATTATAATCTTTGAATGTTTAAATTTTTCATACTTTTAACTGAAAATTGTGTAGATTTAATTTTTTTTAAAAAGTTTAATTGAATTTTTTTAAGTTATTTGAAGTTTTTATTTTCTAATATATATTTAATTGAAAATTTTCCGAATAATCGATGAAATTTCGTAAAATTGAATTGTAAACAAAAGGATTTGAAAGTTTTCAAAGAAATTTTTCAAAAATAATTAAAAATAATTAATTTAAAGAAGAATTCTGGAAATGAAATTTTGCGGTCATCCTGGCTTGGGCACACAACACTTTGCACGTATCTTTTTTTTTTTTGTACTCTTTTCAGTTGGAGAAAAAGTCGGATGCTTCTAAAGATGCACCAACCAATAATTCCGCTCTTCAGGTAAAATAGATTTGTTTTCCATTTGTTTCATAACAATTTTTTTTCCACACTTCTCATTTTCTTTTTGCGCTTTCACTGCAATTGCGACTTAGCTTTTTCTGTGCATGCTTTCATTTTAGATTTAATTTTACCATGCGAATGAAAATATAAAAGATTATTTAAAACATTTTTTTTTTTTTTTGCGAAATAGACTTTCTTGAATAGAGACAAATGAATTTTTCTGCTTTGATATTATTTAAGAAATGAAATTATTTGTTTTTTCTCTCCTTCTTTGTCATAGGAGAGCCAACCTCTACAGAATACCACTACTGAAAGCACCGCTTAACCATCAATTGGTACCATTACGATGTAAACACTCTTTTATAACACCAAATACCCGTTATACACCGTAACAACAGCAAAACATCAGCAGCGTAATATCTGCAACAACAGCAGCAACAGCAACAAAGCAGCAACAACAAATTCTATAACAATTATTAAAAAATCAAAAAAAAAAAAATGAAGAAGAAAAAGATGAAAGGAATAAAAGAAAGGAAATGAAGTACCAGCAAACGCTACTTCACACTCTCCCCACGAAAGTTAATCAAAATTGTGCGGCATGTCAACACATTTGAAGGTTTAACGGACAGTGGTGAAAATCGGAACAAAAGTTATTGCGATAGAGAAAACCCTACTGATGGTTTTTGTGAAATGCTTTATCTTTCCTTTTTTTACGTTTAAATAACCTAATAACGCTAAGTAACCACCTTGGAAAATAATCTATCAAGGCTCAACTCAAGGTTCTGTTTATCACGATCCAATTAAATATATTTGTTTACTTGTGAAAGAAAAGCCAATAATGAATGAATGAAGACGTTATGATTTTTTTTTTTTTTTTGCTGGTCTCATATCAAAAAATAAAATCGTCACGTGTAAATTATTGTTGATCGAGGAAACAACTAAAGTTGAAAGATAGAAGTAAATGTGTTTCAATAATGAAAATGTTGGAGAGGCAAATTAATTTTGAAATGAAATAGGCGAACATCTTGAAAATGTAGTAGGTAAAAATGAAAATTCTTATTAATTCAAAATTGTTTTTCACCCATGTATTTCTTAATATGTTATTTATGAAAAATGTTTGATTAGAATTCCATCGAAAAGTTGTGTATTTCTACTTTATATAATTATTTTATTTTCTCTCATATTATCAAAATTGATATAATTGAATTAATATTTAGGCTTTTAATACGCATATTTTTTTTTGTGAATTTATCGAATTTTACACAATAGTGTGCTCTTAATTATTTATACAAAATTGAATTTAAAATTCTTGAGATAATTTTTTGTCGTCACAATGAAATAATCTGTTTTGTACGACAATATTGAGTCCTTCGATTTTTTTCTAATAAGAAAAGAAAAAAATATGGGCGAAAACAAAAATTGTATTTTTGAACAATTGATTGGATTTTGTCATTTTATTTTTGACAATAAAAAATAACAATCAGTACTAGACATGAAACTCCGAGAAAATTTTGTTAAAATTATTTGAAAATTATTTTGTCAATTCGCAAATATTTCGGATTAGTTTATAATTAAATATTTTTTCGGAGATTCTTGTTTAAGTCATTTAATTAATACTCGAGTGACAGGAAGACATTTGTGTTCTTGTCATGAGAGGAGAGAGAGAGAAATGAGAGAGAGAGAGAAACGTATATATATTATATATATGTACAATATTTACAATATTTACAAAACTTTGCATGATGCTCTTTTTTAAATTTTAGTTTGTAGCACAAACCTCAGGAAATAAAATTTACAATTTTTCTTTCTACACAAGTCTTTTATCAGAATAATTGGAAATTTTGATTATTTTGATTTTTTTTTAATCCTCGCTTTGAAAATTTTACACTTTGAAGAAAAATAATCGCATTTGTTTGACAAAAAAGTACAAACAAATTTTTGCGTTTGTTTAATCGGAAAAAAAATGAGACACATACCTCGTGTTGAGCCCTTGTGATGTGCATAATATCATTGTATGTGAAAGTAATCAATGAGACTTGTATCAGCGATACTATCTTAGAAAGGCGAAAAAAAACGTGTGGTTACGAAATACTTTTTTCGGATTTATCGAGATGTTTTGTTTTTTCAAAAAATGTAATCCAATTTTCACTTCAATTTTTTTTGTTTTAAATTCTAAAGAATTCTTTAGAAAATATGTAAAACTAATTTACGTAAATCATTTTTCGTAAATGGAGAATTTACTTGAAGGAAAAATAAAAATTTGATTGCTTAAAGCAAAACATCTCGTGATTGTCCTTAATATGATCATCCGAGATGAAATATGTAAATGACCAATAAATTTTAAAGTTAATTCACTTGAAAAAAAAAATTGCAAGACAATTGAAATTGAGATTAGAAAAAAATATGGTCAAATACCTCGGAAGAGTATAATCGTTATGCTGATTTTTTTTTACTATTACACTAATGTAACCACTACGGAGCATTGTAGCTGATTATAATAGAGCGCAGATCTCGTGAGAGAATTTCCGATAGGAAGAAAAAAAAAACGTGGAAATTTACAAGCAAGAAGGGAAAGTAATTGCGTAAAAGTATACAATGCATATGTCGACTGAAATCTAGACCTTTTTAAAGAGGGGGAAAATAATCAATAATCTCAGGGGGAGAAATATTGGCTAATTACCATAGAATCCCCGCGAAAATTTTGGGGATTTTCAAATAAAAAAAAAAGAATAAATCGTTCCTTTGCCGCATTAGTTAGCCAGTGTGTCGAAGTCAACGCGTGGTGTTTGCAAAAAAAAAAAAAATAATTTAAACATAGAAAAAAAAACAGTAAAAATATCAAAGCACGCACCATTTTTTGAAAAAAGAACTTCAAATCTTTTCGTGATTTTTTTCCGACATAACAACAACATCGGAGAATCTTGAATGCCGGGGAGAAATAAGTTTTGTAGAATTTCTGTGAAAATCTATTATTTTTAAAACCGGATGTGTCTCTGCTGTCCTTTCTTTGGAAATAGTTGATCACAGAAAAGATACTTTATCATCTCGACATTTTCTCTTCCGGCTTTCTTTCCAATATTCTCATGAGAGGAGATGAAGAGAAAGAGATAAGATATGGAGTTAGAGAATAAAAATAAAAAATGAAATTTTACACATCTCTCAGTTTACAGAAAAAAATTTTTTGTAAAAAAAATTTTTTTGTAAAGCTGAATATACATTGCAGAAAAAATAATTAACAACACTCACGTGAAGATCGCGATTGTCAATTAGGTCGATTAAATAATTTAATTAATTTCCACCGATACCGATACTTGAGACTAAGTATACTAAAAGAAATGAAAAACTTGAAAGAAAAAAAAAAAATAAAGAATAAAAAGTTGGGTGGGTGAAAGAGAAAAATAAAGGGGAACGATAGAAAAAAAAAGAAAAAAAGAAATCCTTCAGGAAGACGTTCATTTTTCGAACAAAAATATCTTTCGACTGAATTCGTTGGAAGTGCCCAGTGAATTTTGTACCGAAACTTGGAGCTCTAAATACTAATTTCATATATGGAATTTAATTTTTTCACGAAACATGTGCATTATAAAAAAAATAAAGAAAAAAAATCGAAAAAATTGTAAACTAATTTTCAGTGTTTTCATTTTATGGCCTCTTCATTTATAATTTAGTTACAATTTAGATTTTTATTTGTTTTTACAAAATTTTACAAAAAAAAAATATTATTTTAGTGGAAAAACAATTATTTTAGTTAAATTTTGAGTCTTTACAGACTAATATTCATTATAAATTAAATTTAATATCTACGTAAAAAAAATGTTTGAGGGATTATTTTAATGAAAGAAAATCTCTTGTCGGGAATAAATTGAAATTTAATAAGGATATAAATTTTGTAATGAATTTTTAAAATTCCCTTTTGGTGTTTTATGGCAGTTTTTTCTGATTAAACAGTCTTTCAGGGTTGCCACAGACCTGGAAAACCTGGAATTGTCAGGAAATTTAATAAAGTCTTCTCATTCTGAAAATTCAATTTTTTTGTATTTGAATATTAAAAATCTCAAGTTTTCAAGTTGACATTGTCGGTCTACTAACTGGAAAATCCGGGAAATAGCCGGGAATTTAATTTGACCGGGAATAAGCCAGGAATTTTATGCCAAATCGGGAATTTTTTCACCAAATTAAAAAAAGTTTTATTATTTTAATTTGTTTTTAAAAAATCGCTTTTTATTTCAATTTTTATAGATATTTATACTGTTCTCTAAATTTCAATTAGTTCAAAATAATTAATTTGATTGTAAAAAATGAGTCACTGATTCAAATATAGTAGGTAAATAAATTTAAAAAAAAAATTATCGAATTAATAGAAATTTTGTGAAATTACAACTAAAAATAATTAAATTTGTTATAGAATTTCATTAAAAACTTTTTAACAAATCGAATTTTTAAAGCATTTTAATTTAATAATTGATAAATAATTGAATTTTATAAAGAGTCACGTTTTGATGTATTCATGTTTCTTAGTGCGAAGATTAATAATTAAAAATTTTTATTAGTTAATTTAAAAAAATATACACACTTCAAATTTTTTAATAAAATTGAATTTTTGCAAAGTTTTTTTGAAAATTCTCAAAAATAAGAATTTTGAAATTTTTCAATTCTATTTGTTTCAAAATAATTGAATTTTTATAAACAAATAATTGAAATTTCTTTACATACTATTAAAAATAATTGAATTCTTTTCAAGAATTTTATTCAAATTTTTCGAAAATAATCCGTAATTATAATTTTATTTTTAAAAATTTCTTCGCAATATATTCAATTATTTTCATAAATAGTAAAATTCATTGCAGAATTTCAATTATTTTTAATACAATTTTAATCAAATTCCTCGAAAAATTTAATTATTCTTAAAAATTTTATTAAAATTCGTCGAAAGAATACAATTATTTCTAGAAACTGTAAAAAAAATTCTTTTCAAGAATTCAATTATTTCCATAAATAGCAAAATTCTTCAGATTTACAAAATTCTTTTGAATATTATTTTTTTTTCTAAATTCTTCACAAAAATTCAATTATTTTCAAAAGGAATAACATTCTTCGCAGAAATTCAATTATACTAAAATTTTTTTTTAAATTCTCAAAATTTCAATTATCTTTATAAGTAATTAAATTGTTCTCTACAATTCAATTATTTTTAAAAATGTTAATAAAATTCTACGCAAACATTCAATTATTTTCATAAAATAATAACATTCTTTTGAAGGATTCAATTACTTTTATAAATAATAAAATTCTTTGCAAAAATTCAATTAGTATCAATACATTAATTTTAATAAAATTGAATTAATCAATTTTTCAACTGTATAATTATGAACAGACAAGATTATTTTCCAAAAATTTAAAAAACTCGCCAAAAGAGTTTAATTATTGTTAACAATTCTAATAAAAAATTTTGAAGCCATTTGTAGATTTATTTATGTTTGAAATCAAATAACTTTAAATTTGATGAGAAAAAAAATCGGGAAAAATTAGGACAAAGCCGGGAAATAACCGGGAAATTTTAACTTCAAATTTTAATTTAAATTTTAATTATTTATAAAGTTAAAAATTAATAACTTGTGTTATTAATAAATTACTTGAAGGATTTTATATTTTTTGTCGTAGTTAGATAAAAATTTATCAAAACAATTCAATTTTTGGGTTTGGAATTTAAAAAAAAAAATAGTCTGGAAAACCTGGAAAAGTCGTGGAATTTTAAAATCCATGTTTTGTGGTTACTCTGATGTCTTTTTTTTAAATTTTGTTTCTGTTTATTCTAGAATACAATACAGCGATCATTGTTCTGCTTCTGAATTTATAAATTTGCAGATAATAAATTAATGCTCTGAAATATCTGTTCGACCACAATATAGGCTTTTCTATTGTTCCGCGAATTCAAAGAGATTCTGAATGAAGGATTTCACATCAAATTATTCATCCCCATTTCATAATGGACCAGATTTCAAACTTAAAACTGTACTTAGAAATTTTTATTTTCGTTCTTCTTAATTCTCGTTTCATCATATACTATTTTTTCATTTATTATTTTCATATTTCATATAATTTTTTCATTAATTTTAATATAATTATTATTATACAATAAACATTTAAAATTTCGTTGAATAAACTTACTCATAATGTTTTAAATGATAAAAAAAAATTAATCTCGTACATGTGAAAATATTTGAAATATTTGAAATATTAAATTAAAGTCTGTAAATTTTAAAACATTTCATTTCGTTCTCAAGTGGATTATTATACATTGAAAGAGCTGCAAATGAAGAAAGTTTTATATTAATAATTTTATTATAGCGAGATTCGTGCAAAATTATTGTAATTTTTTTAATATAAAATCTAATATTAAATAATAAATTTTTATTACTTATATTTATAAAATAAATGAAGAAAATATTTTATTTATATAATTGATGGTACTTCTTAAATTTTCTAGATATCAAAGTAATAATTATGCATAATTATATATATATATATATATAATCGATTGTGAACTATTAGTACAAACTCCCTTTAGTTTCCAGTTTATGCAGAGTAACAACTTTACAGTAAATCCCCAGTTGCTCGAGAACAAGAGCTTTTACCTTGGTCTCCAAGTATTTCCACCGTCAGCCATACAAGTTGCCATGGCAATTTCTGCTAAATGTGTCATTCTATGAGGTGGTGACGCAATTTTGTGAAAAATCTTTAATGCCTCTGTGAATTTATTTACAGCATCTTCGGGTTTCTCCAATTCCATTAAATCTAAACCTTCCGTATAAAGTGTTAAGCACTTGGTTAATTCGTCTAATCGACTGTCGAGATTCACCTTCTTCTGACAATCTGAACATTTCACTAACTTATTTTTTTCACGTGGTTGGCCGAATAGTTTATCACAATTTTGCGTCGGACATCTGAAAAATAGTTTAATACTTCAATTTTGAATTTCAACAATATCAGGGCTCGAACACTAGGTCCGCAAATTTGCTTCAAGTCCGGAAAAGTCAGTTTTTTTGAAAAAAAAGGTTTGTAAAGTCCGTAATTTCAATGATTGAAAAAGGACGACAATTATTTTCAAAGTAGTAAAATTCTTCGCAGAAATTCAATTATTTTCAAAATTTTTAATAAAATTCTCGACAAAATTTCAATTATCTTTATAAATAAAATTCTTTTCCGAAATTCAATTATTTTCAAAAATTTTAATAAAATTTCAATTATTTTCAAAAATTTTCTTCAATTCAATGATTTTCAATATATCTATTATTTTAATAAAATTTTCCAAAACAATTCAATTGTTTCGAAAATGTTTTAATAAAATTCTACGCAAACATTTAATTATTTTCATAAATAATAAAAATTTCACGCAGAAATTCAATTATTTACAAATTTTTTATAAACTTCTTCGCAATAATTCAATTATTTTCAAGAATAATAAAATTTTTAGAGGGATCCAATTACTTTTGGTAAATAATAAAATTCTGTTTAGAAATGCAATTATTTTCATAAATAATAAAACTCATTGCAGAATTTCAATTATTTTTAATCAAATTTCTCGAAAAATGTAATTATTCTTAAAAATTTTATTAAAATTTATTCAATTACAGCCTGAATTTTTAGAAATAATTGAATTTTGAAAAGGGTTCAACTTAAAATCTTTGAAACTCTAGATTTTTCATACTTTTAACTAACAATTCTGTAGAATTAATTTTTTTGAGAAAGTTTAATTGCGGATTTTTTTTAAAATTATTTAAAGTTTTTATTTTCCAATATATATTTAATTGAAGAATTTACAAATAATTGAAATTTTCTAAAATTGAATTGTAAACAAATTAATTTGAAAATTCTTGAAGAACTTTTTCAAAAATTATTAAAAATAATACATTATTTATAGAAGAATTTTAGTTAAAAACACGAAAAAAAAATTAATTTTGGAAAAGTTATAAATTATTGCAGAAATTCAATTATTTTCAAAAGTAATAAAATTCTTCGCAGAAATTCAATTATAGTGAAAAGTTTTCAAAAATTCTCTTCAAAATATCAATTATCTTTATAAATAATAAAATTTTTCTCCAAAATTCAATTATTTTCAAAAATTTCAATAAAATTCTTGGAAAAAAATTTCTATTATTCTGGAATAATTCAATTATTTTCATAAATAATCAAATTTTTTACAGAGATTCAATTATTTTTATAAATAATGAAAAAGTTTATAGGTTTTCAATTACATATTTTCATAAATAATCAAATTTTTTACAGAGATTAAATTATTTTCATAAATAATAAAAAAACTTCATAGGTTTTCAAATATTATTATAAATAATAAAATTTTTTAAAGAATTTCAATTATTTTTAAAAGAAATTTTTAATGGAATTTCTCGAAAAATGTATTTCAATTATTTAAAAAGAAATATTATTAAAAAAATTTATCTCAAGAATTCAATTATTTTCAAAAGTAATAAAATTCTAAGCAGAAATTCAATTATGGTCTGAAGTTTAAAAAAATTCTCTTCAAAATTTCAATTATCTTTATAAATAATAAAATTTTTCTCCAAAATTCAATTATTTTGAAAAATTTTAATAAAATTCTTGGCAAAATTTCAATTTTTTTCAAAAACTTTTCTCAATTCAATCAAATTTCTTACAGAGATTCAATTATTTTTAATACAATTTATTTTAATCTAATTTCTCGAAAGATGAGATTATTATTATAAATGTTATTGAAATTCGTCAAAAGAATTTTAATTACTTATTTAAAAATTTGTTGATAAATTTTTTTATGAAAATTATAATTATTATAATTATAATCTTTGAATGTTTAAATTTTTCATTTTTATTTGACTTTGACTGCGGTTATATTTTTTCCGTAATTTTTAATTTTTGGTCCGTAAAGTCCGTATTTTTAAATACTTCCACTGGTTCGAGCCCTGCAATTTTGAAACAATATTGAAAAGAATTTTCACGATTTTAGAATATATATAATTTTTCACTTTTCGGATTAATTACTTTAGTCTGACTGAATCCGCAGTCATATTTTCAAATGTCGGCCAGTTTTCTCGACATGCAATGCACGAACATTGAAACCAATATCTGCCACCAAGAGTCCTTTGTCTATCCATGAGGTTTCTCTTTGTAAATATTGGTCCATAGTTTTCCGCCACAACTTCGCCGGGCTTTAGAGTTCTCAATGCTTTTATCACAATATTCCGACCAACAAAATACCTGTAAATAAATCAAAATATTTAACTTTTGTATGTACACATTATAATAATCGTAAGTTTCCTTTCCGTTAGCAAATTATCTGCATTCATTTGGTTGTTTTGAATATTAATTTGTGGGTTATTTTTATTTTTTTTAATGTCAAAAAAAAAGAAAAAAAACTCGTTTTATTCACTTCACAAAATTGACAAAATTTCCATTCCATATTTTTTATTTTCTCGACTTTTTCCTAATTTTCATAAAAAATATTTACTTTTTTCTCATCCTGCTAATAAATTGAATTTCTGCTACGAATTTTATTATTCATGAAAGAATTTAAAATAATTTAATTCTTGCGAAGAATTTTATGAAAAATTTTTAAATAATTCATGTCTTTCGAATAATTTTATGCAAATTCTAATTTAAATAATTGAATTGATGAAAATTTTTATTATTTATAAAAAGAATTTAATTTTCACAAACCATTTTTTAAATAATTTAATTCTATTTGGAAATTTTATGAAAATAGTAGATATTGAAAATCATTGAATTGCGAAAAGTTTTTAAAGATAATTAAATTTTACAAATTTGTCCATAATTGAATGTCTGTGGGAAATTTTATTAAATTTTTTTAACTTAGAATGTTTTCAGGACAAATTTATTTGATTAAATTTTTGAAAATAATTATTCAATTCTTCCATGGAATTTAAAAAAAACATTTTTTTAAATAATTTATTTTTGTCGAGGAATTGAAATTAAGTTTTTAAGAATAATTAAATTTTTGAGCAATTCCTGTAAAATTGTATTAAAAATAATTGAAATCCTGCTATGAATTTAATTATTTATGAAAATAATTGAATAGTTGCTAGGAATTTTATTATAATTCTCAAAAATAATTGAATTACAGAGAAGAATTTTATTATTTTTGAAAATAATTGAATTATTGCGGAAAAGCTTATTCAAATATTTAAAAAGTATTGAATTTCTGTAAAAAATTTTATTATTTTTGAAAGTAAGTGAATTCTTCATTAGAATTTTATAAACATTGTTTTAAATAATTATTTTTTTCGAAATATAATAAATATTATGAAAATTTTATTATTTAAAATAATTGAATTCTTGTGTGAAAACTTTATTTGTGAAAATAACTGAATTTTTCGATTATTCATTTAAAATAGTAATGAAAATAATTGAAATTCTTCGATGAGTTTTATTATTTATGAAAATAATTAAATTCTTACTTAGAATTTAATCAAAATATTTTTTTTTAAATTGATTTTTCATGAAAAATTTTATTATTAGTGAAAGTAATTGAATTGTTGTGAAAAATAAATTGCATAAAATTTTGTTAAATAATTGATTTTTTCGAAATTTGTTTGAAAATTAGCGAATTTAAAATAGTGGAAATTCTCTAAAAAAATATAATTTATATTCTTTGTTCAGAAAGTTGAAGATTATTTTTAATTTAGGTATCAAATATCAATTTTTGCGAAATTCAATTTACCTCGTACAAGAAAGTTTAATTATTTTCAATTTTTGAAAATCTGATGTAAAATTTGAAATTAGTATCAAAATTTGTTAAAGTTTTTTTATGTACTTTAAAGTTTAAAAATATAATATAATTTGAAAATTTAATTCTAATTAGTTTTTCAGTTATGTGTCATAATAAGTATTTCTTTAAAAATTACTTAAATTAAAATGACTTGAAATTGTTTACAATAAACAGTGTAATAAAATAATCCCTTGCGCTTGCGCGCGGATAATTTGGCTAGTACCTATATAAATAATATTCGCTTGATTCCCTCACATAATTCTAAACAAAAGAAATCAAGCAACTTTAAAACAATAACGAATGTTTTGGGAAAGAATAAGAAAAACATTTGTTTATCTAAATTTGTCAGTTTTGCCCCTCTAAGTACTTAGGATTAAGAACATAAAGAAAGGAAGAATGTACAAAACAATAATAGTAATTTAATTGAACATTTTACCTTGTAACAGCCCCATAACATTCGTGATTGAATCGAGCTACTGTTGGGTAAATAGCAACTCCAATGTAAACAGGTTTACTTCCCCGAAAGCGATGCTGGTTTCCTAGGCGAGTTTCGAAAACCTCGTGAGCATTAAATTGAAGAACTTGAAGGTTTTTCAGGAGCAACGATCCTACTTTGGTTTCTTCATTGCTCGGAGGCTCTGAAACAAGAACGTAAAGTTGCAATTTACTATTCTCTTTTACATTTTATAGAATAAAAGAGATTCTTGTCTCGTCCAGTTTCACTTCATAAAGTCTGAAACATTTTATTCTCTTTTATGTACTTTAACACAGAGAAAAAAATAGACACCTTTTCATGTGATGTAGGGAAAAATTTCTTTTCTTTTTAATTAAATGTTATAAATTTCAAATGTAATATTTATAATTTATACCTATACTAAATTTTTAAATTTAAATTCCAAGAATATGTTAATTTGTACGTTTTTCAATTTAATTTGTAAAAATATTTGTTATTACCGTTCGGTTTAGATGGATTTTTGAAAAACCCAACGCATTGTAAGCATTTTAGTAAAAATGAAGCCATTATCGTTCTCTCTAAAAAGTCTTGAGCTGTTCGTTTAGATGAAAGCATTACTAAATCGTATGCTCTAATATCCAATAAATTTTCATCACTGCTTTCATTTGAAGTAACACTATCTTCTTCTGTTGCATTTTGACTTGATTCCTTTAATTTCTTTTTCCGCAATCTTCGTTTAGCCGATTTACTCATTTTTGTGAATTTCTCGACATTAGCTGCTGTTGTTGAAATGTTTTCCTCGTTTTTTGTATTTACTTTTTCGTACATCTTCAAACATTTCTCCAAACCTTCCTGAGACACCATTCTAAATGCAAGAGTACTGAGTACACTCATTCCAGACCCTTTTCAAATAAATATTACATTATTAGAATATCAAGAATATGAAAAAATTTATATGTTTATGAATTTTTCTAACTATAAAATTAATTTTTATGAAATTGATTTTTAATAATTGTGTATAATATTAAAAATGGTTATTAATTTATAAACTAGGTATATATCTTATTTGATTGATTATTGTACAATATTTCATTTATTATTATTTTTGCATTATTGAAAAATTGAAAAAATAATTTTTCATAAGAAAACGTTATTAAACATGAATTTATTGATATCACAGAGGACAAGGGGATATTTCAAAGGAAATTATTATTTAGATTTCATAGTTTGGTCACGTATCTTCAATCAACATTTCAATGAAATGTTTACCTTGATATTATATAATATGGAAATGTATTTATATTGGTAGTGCTAATTACAAAGAAGGGTTATTTACAAATGTATATTAAATAGCTTAACAAAATTAAATGTATGCACTTTTTCATAATAATAATAATAATGAAAGCAGCCAAAATGCTCAATTAACTTTAAAAAAAAATTCTAAGCTTAAATTCAAGTTAAACTCAAATTATTTTTTGTTTGATAGGATCGAACTATGAAATTGCCAAGAATTCTAATACAAACCATTCAATTTTTTCTATTTCTGACAATAATTTCTTTTTAAATAACTTAATTCTTGAAGAACTGTCATAAAATTATTACTCATAAATTATTTAATGAATAATTTTATTTAAAAATTTCAAAATTAATTCAACTTTAAAAGAGTTGCGTTTACCTTTTACAATCTTCATAAATAGATGAACTTCAAAGGTTTCAATTTGAAATTTTAGAAAATTTCAATTTTTAATGATAAAAATTTTAAGAAAAACTGATTACAGAAATTCAATTATTTTCAAAAGTTATAAACTTCTTCGCATACATTCAAATATTCAATTATGTTAAAAATTTTTTCAAAAAAATTCTTGTTAAAATTGTAATTATTTTTAAAAGTAATCAAATTCTTCTCCGAAATTTAATTATTTTCAAAAATTTTAATAAAATTCTTGGAAAAATTTCAATTATTTTCAAAAATTTGACTCAGTTCAATGATTTTCTATATCTACTATTTTAATAAAATTTTCCAAAAGAATTCAATTATTTAAGCAAAATTTTTATAAAAATTTTACAGGAATTCAATTACTTACAATTTTTTTTTTATAAATTTCTTCGCAGCAATTCAATTATTATTAATTTTTTTAATGAAGTTCCTTGACAAGATTTAGTTAATAAAATTTCCCTACTCAATTCAATTATTTTCAATATAATTCTTCTTAACAATTCAATTATTTTCTTAAATAATACATTTTTTATGGGAATTATTTTCAAAAATAATAAAATTTTTCTCGAAAATTTAATCATTTTAAAAATTTTTCGATAAAATGCTTTATAACTTTGAAAAATTATAATAAAATTGATTATAGAATATAATTATTTTCGTAAAAATAACATTCTTTTTAGGAATCACAATTATTGGGAAAATCTTCGAAACAATTTAATCATTTTCGTAAAAAATAAAATTCTTCGAAGCAATTCAATTATTTAAGAAATTTTAACAAAATTCTCCCCTAGAATTCAATTATTTTCAATAATAAAATTTTTCACAGGAATTATTATTATTATTTTATTTAAAAAAAAATTTAATAAAAATCTTCGTCAGATTTCAATTATTTTCAATTTTTTAATGATATTTCTCGATAGAATTTAATTATTTTCAAAATTTTTAAAAAATTTTCTTCAAAATTTCAAATGTTTTTATAAATAATAAAATTCTTCCCCAAAATTTTAATAAAATTTATTTAAGAAATTTTAATAAAATTCTTTCCAAGAATTCAATTCTTTTCAATAATAAAATTTTTCACAGGAATTCAATTATTTAAAAAAAAATTTAATAAAATGCTTCATCAGATTTGAATTATTTTCCATTTTTAACGACATTGCTCAATGAAATTTAATTATTTTCAGAAAGTTTTAAAAAATTCTGAAAAATTCAATTATTTAAAAAAAATTCAATAAAATTCTTCACAAGAAATTAATTATTTTCATAAATAATAATATTTTTCTCCGTAATTCAATTATTTTCACAAATATCACAGGAATTCGTTCTTTAAAAAAATTATTTAAAATTTTTTTTATAAAATTCTTCATAAAAATTAAATTTTAAGAAGTATTCAATTATTCAATAAACTATTTATTAATTTATTATTTATTAATTTATTATTTTTGTATTTAAATAATTGATTTCTCGAAATATTTTCTAATAAAAATTGATTAAAAAATTAATGTTACTTAAAATGTTCTATTATTATTGAATATTAAAAGCATTAGAGCTTGAATTTTTAGAAATAATATTGAATTTTGAAAAGGGTTGATCGATTTCTTCATGTTTTATAATAACATTCTCATATAAGTTATTGAATTTCAGAAGGTTTGAATTTGAAAATCTTAATTCCTATAGAAAAATAATAAAGATTAAATATTTATTTAATCATTGCTTATTGTTAAATAATGTTTTTGAATAATTTTACAATTAAAGAAATTCGTAAATAAACGTAATAGAACATTTTTTGGGAGTATCTATTAATTTTTGGAGTGAATCAGAATATTCTTCACGGTCAGGAAAAAGGGAAAATTTTGTCTGGAAATCAGGGAAAAGTCAGGGAAAAACAAAATTAAATTTTTAGGGCAATCCTGTAATTTTACCTTGATATTGAATTTCTCAGCGATTTGGAAAATTTTTAAATCAGAATTATAGTGAAAACTCTTATTTCAATAAGTGCATTTATACTTTTCTATACCTTTTGTCAAAACGGTCGCACGACTATAAAGTAAGTTTCATATTATACTCTGACTTAAAATCCGGGGAAATCTACTTTATAGGATTTAAAGCACTCGTTGACCCCCACCAACAATCTTCCTCAACTGCTACCAACTTAATTTATCCTTTAAGCTTCTTTTACAAGAAGTTTAAATTTACAAAACGCCCCTATCGGTTACTTCAGGAACTATCCAATATGGCCGCCGACAGAGAGAAAATTGACGTATTCACGTATTTAAGGCCAACGCAGAATAGATCTTTAACCGGAACCGCAATCGTGACCGTAAGCGTAAGAATGAGTTAGAGAAGGATAAACATAATATACCTATCCTTCTTTAACTCATTCTTACGCTCACGATTGCGGTTCCGGTTAAAGATTCTATTCTGCGTTGGCCTTTAGGAATAGCGTTTGACGCCATTTTTGTTCACATTAACCAATTTCATGGACACTTTTAATTCTTAATTCTTATTCTTCTAAGTATTTTGTTCTGACAGTCGGCATAGCCAAAAGTCATTTGAGAAGAAGAAGAAGATTTCACGTATTTAGTACACTCAGATGCAATAATGCTGTCCTTCCGGTTTGACGGTATTTTGTAAAGTCGTATAATTTCTGTCAAAATGTTTTCAGTTCATGAAATATGAATGAACATTCGTATGTCACGAACTAAGAATTTGATAGAAATTACACGACTTTTCAAAATTCCTTTAAACCGGAAGGACAGCATTAAAGCATCTGAGTGTACATGAAAATTTGATATTTATTTTAAAAACAAAATTTTAAAGTGTGGATTCCCCATAAAAGTTACCTTTGAGTGAGGAATCTACGTTACTTGGTTAATGGTTAATTAGTACATACCCCTGAAGCCTGGAAGGGGAATTAAATGACATCGTCTTGTCATTATAACTTTTTCTATATCAGCGTATAGTTTAACTTGAGAAAAGGAAAGGCTAAAGAAAAATCGTAAGAATGAGTAAGAAGAATGATTTGAGGAAATGGGAGGAAATAATATATGTAAGTTGACTCTGTAAGTGGTACTACATATCTCTTTTCTCTACAATTTATTTTGCTTCACAAATTATAGATGAGTGAGTTCATTAAAAACTGACGGAATTTTTTTCACTTTGTTTCAGGTGTCAACTTGATAAATTTCTCAAGATTTTTCCCTTCTTCGTCTAAACAGTCGATTCAATTTTGCTTATTTCTTATTTCCCAGTCTCTTAAGGTGAGTTCAGAATACTAATTTTTTAACGGAGTGTCTATTCGGCCAGTTAACTGTCAAAATAAGGTGGTTTAAATATTTTGCCAGTGCACTGGCAGAATTATTTAGTCATCTTATTCTGCCAGCTTTTCCCTTATTTCTAGTCACTGGCCAAATAATTAAAACACCTTATTCTGCCAGTTAACTGGCCGTATAGACATGGTCATTTTTTAAACCTCGATTGCAAACTCGCTATTGCATTATCTGAATTTGGAATTTGTTTACGACTCGTTAACTTAACCTAAAATGACTATTTATTTTGAACATTTTGGTATATTATCTGAAAAAGTGATTATAGAATAGATATTGAAATTATAACTTTAGAAAGACATATAATATTGGTCCTATAAATTGAAAATTGTAATCGAGTTTGAATTTTGAACAATTACCTACCTATTAAAAGAGCAAGAACTTTACATTCGTATTTGTGATAAGACGAAAGTGCTTGGTCCCTGCATTTTCGTCCACAGAAAGCCACACTGCTGCAGTCAGGGCATCCTACTGGAGCTCTCAACCTACGAGTTGAAAAACTTTCTGATGAGAGACTTCATTAAAAACTTATATTGCTTAGTATAGAGCCAATATTGGGATCGGTTCATTAATTTGGAAATTAAAGCCTTGAAATTTTCTGAACAATAAAAGAGTTGAATTATTTAACTTTTAAAATAATTCATCAACAAAAATAAAAAATTTCTGGGAAATATCGATAAATAATATTGAGGCAGGCGGGTAGAGAAAACATGTAACACAAAGTAAGTAACATTTTTACATTTGTTATTTTCGTGACCAAAACATTAATATTTATTAATTTTCGGATGACTTATGTATTGCAAATACGTATGTTGCAAATGTATAACAGGCCAATTCCATGAAAAAACTTCGCAAAAAAATTTATTTTTATGTAAATATATAAATTAATTATTCTCAGGAATTCAATTATTTTCAATAATATTACAATTTTAATAAAATTTCTCGAAAGGATTCTATTATTTTTAAAAATTCTAATAAAATTTTTCTAAAGAATTGAATTTTACAAAAATTTTACTGAACGTAATTGTATAATAAAATTCTAAAAAGAATTCAATTATTTTCAATAACCAGGGCTCGAAATTTGCTTCAAGTCCATAAAAGTCAGTTTTTTTAAAGAATTCTTCTCCGAAATTCAATTATTTTCAAAAATTTTAATAAAATTCTTGGAAAAATTTCAATTATTTTCATAAATTATAACATTTTTTAAATATGAGATTCAATTATTTTCATTAACAATAACATTCTTTTTAGGAATTCAATTATTTTTATAAATAAGAAAACTCATCGCAGAATTTCAATTTATTTTTAATACAATGTAAATCGAATTCTTCGAAAAATGTATTTATTCTTGAAAATTGTATTAAATTTCGTCAATAGAATTTAATTATTTAAAAATTTGTTTATAAAATACTGTACGAGAATTAATTTTTGAGAAACATTCAATTATTCAATAAATTATTTATTTTTACATTAAAAAAATTTTTGATAAAATTTTAATCAAGAATTCAATTATTTTCATAAATAATAAAACTCATCGAAGAATTTCAATTATTTTTAATACTATTCTAAGTTAAATAATCGAAAAATTCAATTATTATAACAAATAAAGTTTTCTACAAGAATTAAATTATTTAAAACAATGTTTACAAAATTCTTATAAAGAATTCAATTATTTTTGAAAGTTTTAATAAAATTCTTAGCAACTATTCAATTATTTTCATAAATAATAAAATTCATCGCAAGATTTCAAATATTTTTAATACAATTTTACAGGAATTGCTCGAGAAATGTAATTATTCTTAAAAATATTGTAATTCCTCGAAAAAATTAATAATTTAAAAAAAGGTTTTTTTTTAAATTCTTTAGAAGAATTCAATTATTTACAAAAATATTAGAATTTTTCACAGGAATTCAATTATTTTAAAATATTTTAATGAAATTATTCGAATAAAATCAATTATTTCGATAAATAAAAAAATCTCATTGAAGAATTTCAATTATTTTTAATAGGTACTATTTTAAATTAATTAATCGAAAAATTCAACTATTATCACAAATAAAGTTTTCCACAAGAATTCAATTATTTAAAATAAAATTTTCATAATATTTATTATATTTACAAAAAAATTAATCATTTAAAAATAATAATGTTTACAAAATACTTATGAAAAATTCAATTATTTTCAAGAATAACAAAATTTTTCACAGAAATTCAATTCTTTTGAAACATTTTAATAAAATTTTTCGCAATAATTCAATTATTTTCATAAAAAATAAAATTCTTCTCAGGAATTCAATTATTTTTGAAAATTTTAATAACATTCATAGCAACTATTCAATTATTTTCATAAATAGTAAAATTCATCGTAAGATTTCAATTATTTTTAATATAATTTTACATGAATTGCTAAAAACATGTAAATATTCTTAAAAATGTAATTTCAATTCCTCGAAAAAATCAAATATTTAAAAAAATGTTGTTTTAAATTCTTTCGAAGAATCCAATTATTTACATAAATAATTCTTCGAAAGAATTCAATTATTTCGATAATTAAAAAAATTATTCCCGAAAATTCAATTATTTTGAGGCATTTTAATAAAATTCTTTGCAAAATTCAATTATTTTCATAAATAACGATATTCATCAGAAGAACTCAATTATTTTTAAAAGTAATAAATTTTTTCCTAGAAATTTAATTATTTAAAAAAATTCTATTATAATCGTTCCTAAGAATTCAATTATTTTCATAAATATTATAGTAAAATGCTTTTTAGGAATTCAATTATTATTTTCAACAAAATTTAATAAAATACAACACAAACATTCAATTATCGTCAAAAATTTTAATAGGATTGTTTGTAAAATTTAATTATTTTTAAAAACTTTTCGCAATTCAATGATTTTCAATATCTACTATTTTCTTAAAATTTGCAAACAGGATTCAATTTTTTAAAAAATTTTTTGTAAAAATTCTATTCTTTTCATGAATTATAAAAATTTCTCAGGAATTCAATTATTTAAAAAAATTTTTATAAAATTCTTCACAAGAATAAACTTTCTTTTATAAATATTTAAATTTTTTTATGAATAATAAAATTCATTGCATGAATTGAATTTACTAGCAGGATAAGAAAGAAGTAAGTATTTTTAATCAAATTTAGGAAAAAGTTAGGAAAATAAAATATAGAATGTAATTTTTGTCAATTTTGTGAAGTGTCTAAAACGAATTTTTTTTGGTTGTCAAGTTTAATTTTTCGACAGCTACTTTTTTTACTACTTTTTCTAGTTTGAAACCTAATTTTCGTTACTTTTTTAAAATTAATTATCGAGTGCGAAGTCCTGTTATAATATAAAATAATGATTTTATCAATTTGACAACTTTTTTTTATTCTAAAACATGAGGAAATTGATCACTCCGTGTCGTAGACTCGGAGTTATCGATATCTTCATGTTTTATTGTTGAAAAATTTAATTTTGATAGTTTTAGGTAAAATGTTCTCTTATTTGACTCGGACTAGTTATATTTTTGTCATTGGTCCGTAATTTTTCATTTTTGGTCCGTAAAGTCTGTATTTTTAAATACTTGGTATTTTTTCACTGGTTCGAGCCCTGTAAATACTTTAATTTTAAAATTCAAAACATTTACAAAGAAAAATTATTAAAAAAGTTAGGAAACAAATAAGCAAACAACAACTTAGTCTTAAAAAGTAGGTAATAAATTATAATTATTTTAGTACAAGTGTATAAATTGTTAGCTATATTTGAAATGATAATTTCTCTTTTTACCTTGCGAAACAATTTTGGCAATGTGAACCATAGAATTCAGGTAACAAACAGGAAGCTAATGGTGATTCCACTGCCAATGTATCATTGGGATTAATTTCCATGGCTGCCACTGCCTGACGACCAGCAAAAGTAGTTTCTTGAATTTTTAAAAGATTCGACGCTGCAGGAAGACTTGGATTTTCGCCAGCAGTCAAATCTGGAACTAAATTTTACACTTTGTTTTTTTTTCTTCACTTATATGTTACACGGAGAGACCGAGATTACTAATTTTTGTATAAAATCACACTAGAATTTACTATTTTCACATTGCAACCACCGGAAATAAGGGGACTTTTTGTATTTTTTACTATTTTCTACACTAAGTCACTAATCCCGACAAATGTTCACCAAATTAGCAAAGTTTCTTACTATTTCGTCCAATAGTTCCAAATAACTGTAGTAAACTCAGAAGCATTGTGTACGTAAAATTACTACAGTCGTTTGTAAATGCAGAAAGAAAGAGTGAAAGAAAAAATACGGATTTTTGTCGCCGGTTTCCCGTCAATTCTTGACTAATGGAGACAAACTGGAAGGATTTTTACATACACAGACACACACACACTTATATATTTGAAGACACACACATGTTTATTTCACTTATATATATAGACGCGGTTAATTAATACACTAATACACAACTGCACGCACGACAACGAATTTCACTGAAAGTATACATCTTTGTTTCCTTATATATTGAATGATGAAAATTTACAGCACTTACGAGAAAGCAATTTACTTTTAACAACTTACTATAAGACATAGTTCTTGGGACAGGAATAAATGCAAAGTTTATTAATTTATAATGGTCAATTTCTGAGATACCGAACGACCTACGTTTCACTTTATATTTAATTATTGTAGATAATATCCAAATTTATTTTACATACGCGAAACATAGTCACTGTCAATGATCGGATGGCGTCGGCTCATTTACGGAGATTGACGAAGTTAGCAACCAATAGAAATGCAGGCGCCATATGACTGCACTCGCTAGCCACACTTGCTCACCAAAAATTACTACAGTGGATCGTAGGTTTTAGTGGAAAATGTTTTCATTTGTCAGATTTTGTCTAATTAAATTAGAGAAAACTATAATCAATTTTTGCTACATTTACAACTCTTACACAAAATATTAAAACTTGCTATTTCAATGTAGCAAATTTATCTATTTCTTTTGTAAATTTATCTAATTCTGTAGCACATTATGCTAAAAGTCCCCTTATTTCCGGTCATTGCAACCATTTTTAGTAATTTTTACGAATGTGGGTCTCTCCGTGTAATTACAACATTTTTCCCCTGTTTGAAACAATTTCCATTGTCTTTTGTAAATTGAAAATTTCTCAAATTCTAATTGGAGGGAATAGCTTGAATTAATTTCCCTTAATTAGCTCCACTCTATGGTACAAGGAATTTTGTAAATTGAAATGCTGATACCAAGAGAGCTCTTTGCAGGGAATCAAGTTAATCAAATGAATTAGCAGAGTAAATGCAACTAAATAGTTTTCTCTATTCGCAATCTTCGCTTGATTGTAGGAATTGATTTTTTTTTTTCATGCTATCGTTAATGATTGCCAAAGGTAAAAAAATGTTTCAATAGCGAAATACAAAATTACAAAAATGTAAAGAAATTGTATTTCAATATCAATGAGAGAATTTTGATAAATTTTTATAAATTTATATTTATACCGAAATTATATAGAATTGAAAATTTCTTTTACATTTCATTTGAATCGGATCATTCAGGCGTAAACAATATTTGAAGTTACGATGAAAATTCTTTCAAGACTGATCATTACTTACGCTTTCCAGATTTGCTCTCTCTTTTATTTTTCGGTAAAACCAGAGATTTCTTCAATTTTTCTAAATGGTTCCGATATTCGTTTCGTTTTTGTTGCAATTTTTCTCTAAAAATTCATAAATATATATTGAAAATCATACAACAATTTTACTCTCCATTTGTAAATTCTATTAAAAAATAATTGGGATTAAAATTTTAGATGTATTTCAGTTGATTATTTCTCTCAGGAAAAGCTTTCTCCCAAATTCACTTTGCAGCTTTTTTTTTACCATTGTTAGTTTGACGTTAAGTTAATCCACCGTTCCGACAAGAGAAAAAAAAAAGGTTCTTTACTGTTTCGTGAAAATAGGTTTGAAAAAAGAACTTGATTAGAAAGAAGAGAGATAAAACGAATTTGTAAGATAAATGTTAATTTTCGAAATTTCAACAGAAAGTTAGAGAATTAGTTTCTTTGATTTATGCATCACATATAAACGAGGTTGAAATCTTCTCTTATTCCCAAGAATTTACACTAGACTTACTTAATTGCTTTTAATAGGTAAAGCTTTTGAAGTTCATTTTTCGGATGTAAATTAGATTTAGAAGATAATTAAAATTTAATTTTCAAAGATGACTGTATAAACCATTTCATTATTACTAATATTAATATTTACTAAAAAAAAAATAATAATTTGAAAAATATTAAATAAATAATTTCGTGACTTTTATATTAAGTAAATTTTGAGAACAATGTGCGAGGTTAAATAACTCACTTTATTGCTTTATTAAGAGGTTGTTCGTCAGCCATTTGTAAGTCCTCAAAAGCCAAATCATATTCGCCAAGAGTTATAAGAATATCGGCTCTGGCAATAAGTGCAAAAGGTAAACTGAACCCTTCATCGATCGCCGGGATTTTACCTTATGAAAAACAAAACCACGTAAAAATGAGTAAATTAGATTTTTAATGAAAAAAGTTTTATTCATTAATATCAGTTATGGGGAAGTTAGTACATATATAGTTAAATTTTATAAACTGAAAGAAATTATTTGATTGCAAGTATTAAAAAAAATAATAAAATATTTTGGTTCTAATCATTTTATTTTATTGCAAATGAAATACAAACAAGGGTTGCTACAGATCAGGGAAATATCAGGGTATTTTATTAAAAGTACTGAAAAAAATTATATTTTTAGAATTCATAAGAAAATTCAATTATTTTTAGGAATTTAAAAAAAATTTTTTGCTTAATTCAGTTATTTTCAAAAATAACAATATTCATCACAAGAATTAAATTTTTTTCAATAGTAATAAAATTCTTCAAAGAAATTCAATTATTTAAAAAAAATTTTAACAAATACCTCGTCAAGAATTCAATTATCTTTATAAATAGCAAAATTTTTCGCCAAAAATCCAATTATTTTCAAAAATTTAAATAAAATTCTTTGCAACATTTCAATTATTTTTTAAAAGTTTTTCGCAATTCAATGTTTTTAAATATTTACTATTTTCATAAAATTTAGCAAATAATTTAATTATTGAAAAAAATGTTTGATAGAATTCTACGAAAACATTCAACCATTTTCATAAATAATAAAATTTCATTTAGGAATTCAATTATTTTCATCGAAGAATTTCAAATATTTTTCATATAATTTTAAATAAATTTTTCGAAAAATGTAATTCTTAAAAATGTTATTAAAACTGATCGAAAGAATTAAATTTTATGAAACATTCAATTCTTCAATAAAATCATAAAATTTGTTGCAATAATTCAATTATTTTTAAAATTTTCAAGTAATTCTCCAAAAGAATTCAATTATCTTGATAAACAAAAAAATTCTCCCCATAAAATCAATTATTTTAACGAATTTTAATAAAATTTTTTTCCAGAATTCAATTATTTTGATAAATATATCAAAATTCATCACAAGAATTCAATTCTTTTGAAAAGTAATAAAATATTCTGCAGAAATTGAATTATTTTCAAATTTTTTTTTTTAAATTCTCGTCAAGAATTAAATTTTTTTATAAATAGGTAGCGAAATTCTTCTCAAGAATTAATTTATTTTCAAAAATTTTGAATAAAATTCTTTAATTCAATAAATTTTTAACAAATTTTAATTAAATTCCTTAAAGATAATGAATTATTTTCAACAGTTAATAAAATTCTTTGTAAAAATAAATTTTGAGAAACATTCAATAAATTATTTATTTTTGTATTTAAATAATTGAATTCTCGTAGAATTTTTTAATAAAAATTAATTGAAAAATGAATTTCGTTTAAAATTTCAGATAATAATTTAATATTATGAGCATATTATAATAAAATAATGATTTTATCACTCGGTCAACTTTAATAATTATAAAACATGAAGAAATCGATTACTCCGAGTCGAAGACTCGGAGTAATTGACTTCTTCATGTTTATAATAATATTCTTATAATTTGTTGAATTTGAATGTATTGAAAAATTTTAATTCCTGCGAAAAAATAATAATTAAATATTTATTATAAAAATGAATGAAGCAATGCTGAGAAACTAATGAACAATGAAATGATTTTTAACCTGTTGTTGGTGCTCTGAGAACTGCTTGACTCAATAGCATAAGAGCTTTTTCATGTTCATCCAAAGCAGACAATCGTAAGCCTTCAACTCTTTTCTCTTTCGAAATTGTCGCATCCTTATCACGGTAAAAGTGGATTATTCTTTTTAAAGTGTCAAGTACAATATTTTTCACTTTTGTATCATTGAAAATTGCTGATATTCTATCATCGTCGTTTTCAAGTTTACCAAAAATCTTTTGAATCCACGTTTCACCCGCTTGTTCCATCACAGTTTCACTAAATTCAGCGAAAAATCCTTTTTTACTCGAACGCAACGTCTCCGAAGAACAGAGAGTTCTGTAAAATGGATCTAGATGTTCCATTTTCCTGAAATTATTACGGTTGAGGTGAATAATAGAAATATTCAAGTAGGCAGGTCCCCATTTTCTGTACATTTACTTCATGAAAGCATTCTTTTTAAAACAACTGTACATTTTTATAAAAATTTAATTGAAATACAATTTCAAGAGAAAACAATATTTTCTTTTGGAAAAATTGAATTCATTTTAATTAGAATTTAATTTAGAAATTAGAACAAATTTTCAATCAGGAAAAAATTCACTTTTGAGACACATATTATATCAATTTAGAAAATAGTTTAGTGAAATGAAAATTTTTTATAGCATGAAATATCTTTCGTTAATTGTTTTGGAACATTGTGGTTCAAGTAATTGGTATACAAATTAATGGTAATTTCAGTTGATGTTTTGCTCGTCGATTTAGTGTTTCCAAGTTGTAGTCGTACAAATTATGGTAATTTAAAATTGATGCTCTGTTCGGTGAAAATATAATCTCAATAGTTTAAATCGATAAAAAAATGCCATTTAATTTTTTAATAATTACATTATTTCTTTATTTGTCGGACATTTTAAATTATTTAGTTTTGAATGGATTTGTTTCTATTAATATTGAAAAGTTAATTTGCAAATGAACAACGTAGACAAACTGTACATTTAATTTATAATGACGAAATTTGAATATGTTTTCGGTCATGTTTACAAACCTGTGGTTTTCTGCGGATTAATTAAAGCTCTGGTCCAGTATATAAGCGATTTGATGCTGGAAATTTTAAAGAGTAGAAGCAGTAGTAGTTAAAATAGATAATTTAGCATTCATTTACTTGGGATTTTTGTTTTTTTAAAGTACAGAATTGGTCGCTTTTCATTTGTGAAAATGTAAATTTTCAAATTGTAAGCACACCTTTTATTTATATATAGTTCAGTTTTTTCAAAATTTATTTCAAAACAATTATCTCTTTACGTGATTCATTTTATTTAATTATATATTATTTATATATATTATAATTATAAATTATTTTCTTAGTTCAATAGCTTTTTAGAGATTTTCTAAAGCAGATGAAATATGATAATACAGGGTTGCCACAAGTCAGGGAATTCAGGGAAATGTTTAAGAATTTTTGTTAAAAGTACTGGAAAAAATTAAATTTTTTAAATTTACAAGAAAATTCTGAATTTTTGTGTCTTTTTTGCTTACCTCATAAACTATGAAATTGAGAAGAATTCTAATACAAACCCTTCAATTTTTTCTATTTCTAACAATAATTTCTTTTTAAATAACTTAATTCTTGAAGAACTATCATAAAATTATTACTTAAAAATTATTTCATGAATAATTTTACTTAAAAATTTCAAAATCAATTGGATTTCAAAAGAGTTGAGTTTACAATCTTCATAAATAGATGAACTTCAAAGATTTCAATTTGAAATTTTAGAAAATATCAATTTTTTATAAATTTAAATAGAAATTTTAAGAACAACTAATTGCAGAAATACAAATATTTTCAAAAATGCTTTAAAATTCTTGTCAAAATTTCAATTGTCTTTATAAATAATAAAACTCTTCCCCGAAATTCAATTATTTTCTAAAATTTTAATAAAATTCTTGGTAAAATTTCAGTTATTTTCAAAAATTTTCCTCATTTTAATTATTTTTAATATCTACTATTTTAATAAAATTTTCCAAAATAATTCAATTATTTAAACAAAATTTTTATATAAATTTCACAGGAATTCAATTACTTACTAATTCTTTATGAATTTCTTCACACCAATTCAATTATTTTTAATTTTTTAATGAAGTTTCTCGAAGGAAATTCAAATAAATATTCAGAGAATTGAAAAAAATAGTTCTGAGAAATTCAATTATTTCGAAAAATTAAAATCAAATTCTTTTAAAAATTTTTTTATTTAAAAAAAATTTGACAAAATTCTTTAAAAGATTTAGTTAATAAAATTTTCCTATACAATTCAATTATTTTTAATACAATTCTTCGTAAGAATTCAAATATTCAAAAAAATGGAATAAAATTATTCTTCGCAAGAAATCAATTATTATCATAAAAAATAAAATTTTTCTCGAGAATTCAATTGTTTAAAAAAATTTCGATAAAATGCTTTATAAATTTGAAAAATTATAAGAAAATTGTACGTAAAATAAAATTATTTTTGTAAAATATAACATTTTTCCTAGGAATACAATTATTGTAAAAAATGTTTGTAAAAATCTTCGAAACAATTCAATTATTTTCGTAAAAAAAAAAAAAATTCTTGACAAGAATTCAATTATTTTTATAAATAATAATATTTTTCTCCGAAATTCAATTATTTTCACAAATAAAATCCTTCACAGGAAATTCAATTCTTTAAACAAATTTGTAATAAAATTCATTGCCAAGAATTCAATTATTTTCATAAATAACAAAACTTATCGCAGAATTTCAATTATTGTTTAAACAATTTTAAATAAAATGATTGAAAATTGCATTCATTATTAATTTTTTTTTTTAAATTCACTGAAAGAATTCAATTATTTTTAAAAATTTTGATAAAATTCTTCATAAAAATTAAACTTTAAGAAATATTCAATTACTTAATAAATTATTTATTTTTCTATTTAAATAATTGAATTCTCGAAAAATTTTCTAACAAAAATTGATTAAAAAATGAATTTTACTTAAAATTTAAAATTATAATTGAATTATTAAAGCATTACTACTTATCAATTTTTTTTTATAAATTTCTTCGCACCAATTTAATTATTTTTGATTTTTTAATGAAGTTTCTCGAAAGAATTCAAATATATTTAGAGAATTGAATAAAATAGTTCTGAGAAATTCAATTATTTCGAAGAATTAAAATAAAATTCTTTTAAAAATTATATTATTTAAAAAAATTTTGACAAAATTCTTTACAACATTTAGTTAATAAAATTGGAATTTTAATAAAATTTTCCTATAAAATTCAATTATTTTTAATACAATTCTTCTTAAGAATTCAAATATTTTCACAAATAATACATTTTTTTATAGGAATTCAATTATATTTAAAAAAAATTTGAATAAAATTCTTCGCAAGAAATCAATTTATTATTTTAAAAAATTTTCATAAAATGCTGTATAAATTTGAAAAATTATAATAAAATTGATCATAGAATACAATTATTTTCGTAAAATATAACATTCTTCCTAGGAATGCAATTATTATTGTTAAAAATATTTTTAAAAATCTTCGAAACAGTTAAATTATTTTCGTAAAAAATAAAATTCTTCGAAGCAATTCAGCTATTTATGAAATTTTAACAAAATTCTTCCCAAGAATTCAATTCTTTTTAATCAGAATATTTTTCAGGGTCAGGGAGAAAGAAAAAATTTTGATTGAAAATCAGGGAAAAATAAAATATAATTTTTGTGGCAACCCTGTAATAAATAATAGATTACTTTTAAAACGGAAAGATTTTTTAGTTTATTATCAATTTTTTAAATTTATTTTTAAATTCTCATTTAATACTCACGTGATTATTAATGGTAAAAACTTGAAAATTGAAAATATTTATAAAAGGCACATTTATTTTCTTTGAAACGAAAACATCGTTTATTCTTTTTTCTAAATTACACTTTTGTTGTAATTAGAAAATTTTTTTTTCGTGAAATCGGTAGAAAATCAACGACTTATCAAACAGTGATAAAAGTTTTTGGTTTAAGCTGGCACAGGAAACGAGAAACTATCATCCACTAGCTTCTACAACTATTCTTATAATTCTAGTCTTGTTGCACGATGCGCCGTCTCACATATTCTTTCTCCTTCACACTTTCTCAAACGTATTTAAGTTGCTTTTGGTGCTTTCTATTTTTGACTCGAACTTTAAAGAGCTGGATTCGTATTGCACAGACTCTATATATTGAGAAAATATCATTTTTTTTATCATGTTTTATCCATAACTAAATTTACTAAATTTACCTGATTCTAATATTCATCATTAAAATTTAATTATTTGGTTCGTATTAATTATTCCGATTGGCTTTTTAATTAGTGAAGTTCGTAAAATATTTGGTTTCGGTAATATTAATGAGGACCTATTGACGTATTTAATTTATTTTATTTAAATTAACATTTTCAATTTAAATATTTTATTGTGTTTTTCTAAATTGCAATATTAAAAATTGAAAATGTTAAGTTGTCCAGAGTGCGAGGAAAAGTAGGAAACTAGTTAAAGAAATGTCAGAGAATTTTGTAAATAAAAAATTTTGCGGTCACCCTAGTTCAATAATGCGTTTATTTGGTCAATACAGTCAAACTTGCGCTGAAGGAAGTAAATTTTTCCCTGAGTGTAATTCAACTTTTACCAGAAACCTTATTATACTAAAGAAAATAAAACGATTATTATTTTGCGAAGCAAAAAATTAACCGTACTATCAAAATAAAATTAAATGAAACTAAAATTTGAAATAATATTTTCGAGTTTTATTCTCATTCATTGCATTCTCTTCTCTTTTTTTGTGTAGTGTCGTGTTGGAAAAATTAACAAGATACCCACTGAAGAGATAATTATTTCTCAAGAGTCTGAAAAAAGCTCGTGGAAAGAATTTAAATATATACGGTTTTGAGTATAATTGCTTTAAAGACCGCGCACCAGTTTACAATGAAAGCATAAGCATATCCTCTTTTAAAAAGTAGCTAAATTAATTGTCAAAGTTTAAAAAAGTGTGTTTATTTTTAATTCTCATTTAGCATTATCTAACTTTTAAATTATTTCATCACTATTTTTCACATCACACAATAAAAATAATTCGAAAAGATTTTTAATGATTTTTATATAAAAAATTAAATATTTAATAAAAATTAACATTTATACAATATAAATGTAAACTTGCTACGTAAGCTTGCTGCAATATTACGTGAAAGCTTGCAGCAAGCTTGCTTTCTAAGTAAATATTTAATTATATCTTATTCAATAAAATAATTATTTAATGTATGTACGTAGTCTTTATTTAATATAATATAACAATGTTATAATAAAAATCTTTATTAATTTTCCCAAAAAAATATTAGAGTTGTGTAATTAAACAGATTATTATAAACTAATTAAACATCATTTCAAGTTACTGTTCTATTTAAATTAATCTTGTCAGTGCTTTCTCATGCAGCACTATAATACTCAACCTATAAGACGCTGTTGTAGTGCGAGTACTGATGGGATAAATTATTATTGAAAAGTACCTATTCAATTTTTAAGCTTAAAACTATAAGTTAAGTCAATTTTAGAACTTTTAAAATCATAACCTTGAAGCTGAAGTTCAGTAAACATAGTTCTATAATCAGGGTTACCACAAAAATTTAATTTTGTTTTTCCCTGACTTTTCCCTTACTTCCAGACAAAATTTTGACTTTTTCCCTGAACCTAAAGAATATTCTGATGCACTCCAAAAATTATTAGATACTCGAAAAAATGTTCTATTACATTCATTTACGAATTACCTTAATTGTAAAATTATTCGAAACAATAAATAACTTCTCTTTTAATTAAATATTTACTCATTATTATTTTTCTATTGAAATTAAAATTTTCAAATTCAAACCTTCTGAAATTCAATAACATACGAGAATATTATTATAAAAAATGAACGAATTGATCAATAAGAGTCTTCGACTCGAAGTGATCGATTTCTTCATATTTTTATAATAATTTAAGAAATTACCAAGTGATAAAATCATTATTTTATATCATAAGAATATTGTAACTATAAATTAAAATTCTCAAAGAATTTAATTTGAACTATCTTCAAAATTCAATTAATTCTAAAAATTCACGTTATAATGCTTTTAATATTCAATTATAATTTAAAATTTTAAGTGAAATTAATTTTTTAATCAAATTTTTATTAGAAAATTTTTCGAGAATTCAATTATTTAAATAGAAAAATAAATAATTTATTAAATAATTGAATACTTCTTAAAGTTGAATTTTTATGAAGAATTTTATCAAAATTTTTTAAAAATAATTAAATTCTTTCGGTGAATTTAAAAAAAAATTAATAATGAATGGAATTTTCAATCATTTTATTTAAAATTGTATAAATAATAATTGAAATTCTGCGGAAGAATTAAAAAAAATTTTTTTTTTTAAATAATAAATTGAATTTTTGTGAAAAATTTTATTATTGAAAAGAATTGAATTCTTGGAAACAATTTTATTAAAATATCTTAAATAATTGAATTGCTTCGATAAATTTTATTTTTTCCGAAAATAATTGAATTGTTTTAAAGATTTTTACAAACATTTTTGACAATAATTGTATTCCTAGGAAGAGTGTTAAATATTTTATGAAAATAATTGTATTCTACGATTAATTTTATTATAATTTTTCAAATTTATAAAGCTTTTTATCAAAATTTTTTTAAATAATTGAATTCCTAGAAAGAATGTTACATTTTTTAAATAATTGAATTTCTCAGATTTTTTTAAAACTTTTTGAAAATAATTAAATTCTATTAACAAATTTCATTAAAAAATTGAAAATAATTGAAATCTGACGAAGAATTTCATTAAGTTTTTTTTTAAATAATTGAATTCCTTTAAAAGATTTTATTGATGAAAAGAATTGAATTCTTGGAAACAATTTTGTTAATATTTCTTAAATAATTGAATTGCTTCGAAGAATTTTATTTTTTACGAACATAATTGAACTGCTTCGAAGATTTTGACAGACATTTTTGACAATAATAATTGCATTCCTATGAAGAATGTTATATTTTACGAAAATATTTGTATTCTATGATCAATTTTATTATAATTTTTCAAATTTATACAGCATTTTATGAAAATTTTTTAAAATAATAAATTGATTTCTTGCGAAGAATTTTATTCGAATTTTTTTTTAAATATAATTGAATTCCTATAAAAAATGTATTATTTGTGAAAATATTTGAATTCTTAAGAAGAATTGTATTAAAAATAATTGAATTGTATAGGAAAATTTTATTAAAATTGCAATTTTATTAACTAAATGTTGTAAAGAATTAAGTCAAAATTTTTTTAAATAATATAATTTTTAAAAGAATTTTATTTTAATTTTTCGAAATAATTGAATTTTTCAGAAGTATTTTTTTCAATTCTCTAAATATATTTGAATTCTTTCGAGAAACTTCATTAAAAAGTCAAAAGTAATTGATTTGGTGCGAAGAAATTTATAAAAATAATTGATAAGTAGTAATGCTTTAAGAATTCAATTATAATTTAAAATTTTTATTGAAATTCATTTTTTAATCAATTTTTATTAGAATTTTTTTCGAGAATTCAATTATTTAAATAGAAATATAAATAATTTATTAAATAAATGAATATTTCTTAAAGTTGAATTTTTATGAAGAATTTTATCAAAATTTTTAAAAATAATTGAATTCTTTCGGTGAATTTAAAAAAAATTTAATAATGAATGCAATTTTCAATCATTTTATTTAAAATTGTATAAAAAATAATTGAAATTTTGCGATAGGTTTTGTTATTTATGAAAATAATTTAATTATTGGCAATGAATTTTATTACAAATTTGTTTAAAGAATTGAATTTGCTGTGAAGGATTTTATTTCTGAAAATAATTGAATTCCGGAGAGAAATATTATTATTTTTTATACAAAAAATTGAATTCTTGTCAAGAATTTTATTAAAATTTCTGAAATAATTGAATTGCTTTGAAGAATTTTATTTTTTACGAAAATAATTGAATTGTTTCGAAGGTTTTGACAAACATTTTTGACAATAATAATTGTATTCCTAGGAAGGATGTTATATTTTACGAAAATAATAGTATTCTACGACCAATTTTATTATAATTTTTCACATTTATAAAGCTTTTTATCAAAATTTTTGAAAATAATTGAATTCTCGAGAAAAATTTTATTTTTTTATGATAATAATTGATTTCTTGCGAAGAATTTTATTCCATTTTTTTTAAATATTTGAATTCTTAAGAAGAATTGTATTGAAAATAATTGAATTGGTGTGAAGAAATTTATAAAAAATTGATAAGTAATTGAATTCCTGTGAAATTTTTATTAAAATTTTGTTGAAATAATTGAATTCTTTTGGAAAATTTTATTAAAATAGTAGATATTAAAAATAAATTAAATGAGGAAAATTTTTGAAAATGATTGAAATTTTGACAAGAATTTTATTAAATTTTTTAGACACAATTAAATTTTAGAGAAGAATTTTATTATTTATAAAGATAATTGGAATTTTGACGAGAATTTTTAATAATTTTTGAACATAGTAATTAAATTTATGCGAAGAAGTTTATCATTTTTGAAAATCATTGAATTTCTGCAATCATTTTATAATTTTATGATAGAGTTGTTCAAGAATTAAGTTATTCAAAAAGAAATTATTGTTCGAAATACAAAAAATTGAAGGGTTTGTATTAGTATTCTTGGCAATTTCATAGTTTATGAGGCAAACAAAAATGACACGAAAATGAAGGATTTTCTTATAAATTCTAAAAATTTAATTTCATCCAGTACTTTTAATAAAAATTCGTTTACATTATTACACAGGAAAAAAAAGTCTGACTCCGTTTACACCTTAAATTTCAGCCTCGAAAATAGGCTGAAAGTAAGACTTTTTTTTTAGTGTGTAATGTAAATGGTTTAAGTCAAAAGTGGTATTTTTACGTCTAGAATTAATAATTATCAATAAATGGTGTTGTTAAAAAATATATGTAGATAAAATCAATTATCGTGATGTTTCATAAACTCAGGTCGTATACCTAAA